TATAGTGTGGAACAATATCATTAAATAAAGTCCCCTTACAGGAAATATGACAATATAATCAACATTTTCCAATTGCTTCCAGATAGTTTCTTTCACAATGCAATTGCATGACCAGAACTCTACTTTATCTTTAAGTTTGCACTTATGAAGCAGTGTCTTGGAAGTAATTTTGACAAACACTTGGTCATTGTGACATTTCCAATGCTGCTAGGTGTGAAATTCGATTTGCTTTAGTGAAGTCAGAGCTGATTATAAAGTAGCAAAATGAGGGAATTGATGTACACACAGTTGTCAGGCAGTTACAAATGTGCAATATTTAGTACTGCATTGGCTCTATTGCTTTGTCTAGATATTAACATGTACCCTGTATAATTTATAGACATGAAACAAGAAGTGATGATAGAGAGAAAAATAAATTAGTCTTGAGTAGACAAAGACATGAATTCATGAATTTTGGATACATGTACATTTGTGGGTTTTTTGTTAGTAGATATCTTCACATTTTACTTGTGGTATGTGTGGTTTAAAGTACTATTTTTAGTGCAGTCCATATATTGATTGTAAAATGTAAATTTGGCAAAAGTACATCAAGGTTCACGTAGAATGTATGCACATATAGTAGTGTAGTGTTGAATTGATTTGCATTGTAAACTCGCAATCCCAGGTCCCTGCACTATAGTTCCCCTCATGCAATTGCATCAGTGTTGCAGTGTAAAAAAAATGAAATAAATATGAAGGCTACTTTGGGCCAGGGCTATTGTGTTCAGTAATTTTATGCATTAAAGATAAAGTTGAGTTTGGTCATGCGATTGCATTGTGTAAGAAACGTTGTGGAATCGATCAGAAAAGGTTGATCATCTAGCATATAAGTACTGGTGTGTACTGCAAGGTTCTGAAATCATCCAAATGATAAGACATTTGGCCCAGTCTTGGTAAAGTTACAAACATTTTTGTGTGTGTAAAGCATAATGCAGTAAACTCCAAACGGGGGAAGGGGGAATCGTCATGACAACTATAAGAGGCCATTTCATGTGTAACTGAATGGCAGTGGGGATAAAAATTAATTACAAGTAGCTCTGTGTACCCCCTTGTTCAGATTACCAAGATTAATTGTATCACCTAACAAAAACCCTATATCTACATATATATGTCAGTAATAATATCCAGAAGTATCAGAGGTAGTATAACGTTTTTGAGGTGACATACTGTGTCACGTGTAAACAAGACATCTTCATCTCATTCGGATGTATTTGGTTAAGATTTTAGATTTGCAAACCTTTCTTAAACTTCATTTTGTAGTAGCCATTCTTAGCAGGATTCCAGCAGAGTTCAATATTTTGTCTTACTTGTTTCAAATAAAGAAGAAGAAAATAATTTTGTGAGGTTTCACAGCTTAATGTAAAGAGCTGCTAGTCTCTGACCATTCTAACAATAGGCTTTCAATCCTGAAATGTCAGAGTTACTCACATTGTTTTCCTGCAGTCCTTTGCAAATACCATATGTACGGATGGATTCCGCATAATGAATTTATCAAGAAGAAGGAAACGTAGGGGAAAACATATTCTTTTCACTCAATTTCCCAATGCAGAATTGGAAATGTCACTTCCTGACACTAACTTGTCTTTAGAAGTGATTCAATTGAACAAGAAATAGATTAGAAAAAATATCAAAGTAGATCTGTTTGTTGTTGTTGTTGTTTTTGCATTTTCCATCTTCCTTGGATGATGTTCGTCATTGTGGTTTTAACAAGTATATTTAAATTTTGTTATCCACTCAAGATCTGTCCAAGAATGTAATAATGCAAAGAAGTTATATAAAATTTGAGCTGTTCAAGAATTTGGGATACCGGTTTACAATGGAAAAGTTGTAGAAAGTTCTATCTGTTTTCAAACAACGGAAATGATGTTTATTGGATTTTATTGATAAGAAAGCTCATTATTATCACCTGTCACCTTGTATTTTGCATTTACAACTCATCAGCATTATTTTGAACAGATGAATCCATGCAGTAATATATGACGGATTTGTCAGTTCATAATAATGACCACGAACTGTACATATATTAAGTTGCTTTTTATCCATGGTGATGAAAATTGTCTTTCCATGAAAATTTTCTTTAGAATGTCTCTTTAATATCATGCCGACTGTAAAAAAAAAGGGTTTCTTTGAAAGTCTTAAAGTGCTTCAAACCTTTCAACAATTCAACTTTTCAAACCTTTCAAACCTTCAACCTTTCAAACTTTTCAAACCTTTTAACCTTTCAAATCTTTCAAACCATTTAAACCTTTCAAACCTTTCAATATTTCAAACCTTCAACCTTTCAAACATTTCAGCCTTTCAAACCTTTCAAACCGTTCACGCCTTTCAAACCTTTCAAACCTTTCAAACCTATTAACCTTTCAACCTTTTAAACCTTTCAACTTTCAAACCTTTCAACCTTTCAAACTTTTCAAACTTTTCAAACTATTCAAATCTTTCAACCTTTCTACCTTTCAAACCTTTCAAACCTTTCCACCTTTCAAACCTTTCAAGCCGTCCAACCTTTTCAAACTTTCAAACCTTTCAATCTTTCAAACCTTTCAACCTTTTAAACATTTGCTTTGAGGGAAGGAAGAAAGATCCTAGTCCAGGGTCACATAAAGTACAGGCATGATCTGGTGTTCCTGGTGTAGAGTTCTTGTGGTCTATTGGATTCGACTCTGGACTGTGAATCACATGGTTCGCGGTTCGAGCCTGCTGCAGCATTAATATCCTTGACAAGATATCATTTCACATTTGCCACTCTCTACCCAGGTGTAGGAAATGGGTACCCAACTACCCGGGATTGAGAAATTTCTTTAATGCTTGAGCGCATTCTCGTGGTAGCATGGCTTAGGCCAGGGTATGACCGCAGGGCCGTCAGGGAAAACACTTTTAATACTGATGGGGCTTCCCTGGGTAAAGAAGCCACATTATCATTACTATTATTTTTATTCCTTTCACAGAATTCGCAATTTTGCATGCATGAAAACTAATCAAACATTGATCAGCAAAATAACCTGCTCATGCATGTTTTATTGCAAATAGAACAATTTGACACAGTATACCATTCCAATTTCCTTCTTTCTACTACCATCACTCCTCTTTAAATTTAGATCACCATCTTCTCTATATCTAGAGTGGATCTTCAGTTTAAGAAAGGTTACAAATAATGAATCGGCCCGTCAGGGCCAAGTGCACCGTAATATGATCGATGTGTGGTCATTCCTCAAGCATTGGTTTGATTTGATTTGATTTTTTTTTTTTGGGGGGGGGGGGGGGATACAAAAATGAAAAGAAAAAGATGACTAATGACCGGCGTGATAGGAAGTGGGAGCTTTCCTAAATGACTTGATGGCATCAACTGTATATTAAAGGACAGATGTCGCATTCCAGGAGCAGATGGAGAAATAGCAGGAGTTCATAGTCAGTGAGAGGGATAGAGAGAAGGCGGGGGAGAGAGAGGGAGAGAGAGTGGGGGGGGGGGGGGGGAAGAGAGAGAAAAAAAATGAGGGAGAGAGAGAGAGAGAAGGAGGGAAGGAGATAGGGGAAGAGAGTGGGGGATAGGGAAGATAGAAGAGTTACAAAGAAAGGGTCAGAGAAGAGTGAAGTTTGGAGTTAAAGATGATTTCAATTTTCAAGAATTTGCTTAGACTTGCAGTGATCCCCATATAGATAACATCAACAGTTCATATTTAGAATCTCTTCTTTGTTTCTCTTGCCAATTTATATATGTATAATGGCTTGATATTATTGCCATAGTTACACATGAAAGTGAAATTCTACCTAAATATACTGATAAAATGATGGAAAACCTGAATCAGAGGTCAAAAGACAAAACATAATTTTAAAATCTTGTAACTGAATCATGAACAGGAATACGTATGAATTCTGACTCACTGGGGATTTATTCTGGCCTTGTTTCCTTCAGAATTCTAGTTAAAAGACAATTGAAATCTTACTTGAAAACTAGATCAGGAAATGATCTCAGAAGTATACCTAGCTCAAGGTAATATGACGGAATGTATAGAAATTGATCATCATCTGAAAGAAGTGACATTGAATTTCCATTAGACTAAGAGGAGATAAGAAAGAAAATATGGGGATAGAAAATAGAATATGATATCTTCAGAGAAGAATAAGATTGAGATGACAGGGGGAACAGGAAGTTGGAGTACAGAAAGAATTCAAAGAAAAGGTGTGGAGAGAGAGGATATTTGAGGACAAAGAAGAGGACATTATTTTTTTGTTACAATGAGATGAGGTATTTGTGATTAAGAAAAATATACCTTTAAACAAATTAAACCAACTACAAAAGATTGTGAAGAAATATGGAGAAAAATAAATGTTGGAGCAAATTATCCCATTGCAAAAGCAGAGGAAAATGAAAGAGAGTGGATGATTAAGAAGTTAGATGTGGGTTTTACTATTGTGATGTACGGGTATATCAATGTTACCATTTAGATGGGTGTATTCAGTTCTGCTCAGAGTAAAAAAATATATGCAAAAAAACAATAAATAATGAAGAATTTGCTTTGTAAAAATGTACACAGTGTTTAAGTTCCCTTCTGGTTCCTAACAGAGGATTTGAAGATAGTTATTCTTAATTAAGCGTTTTAATCTTTGAAATAAATGTTTTTTTTTCTCTGTCATTTTTTTAGCTCTGTCTGAGACAAGTCAACATAATGGAGTATTTATTTCTTTTGTAGATTGAGTGTCTTAATTGTCTATTGAATCTTTGAAAAATTGCCACTTACAGTAAATGTCTGTTTTTAGTTTCTGCAGAGTTCAGTCCAAAACAGCAAGCTTTCCATTTTAACATTTTTAATTTAAAAAAAAAAAAAAATGTTAGTTATCTATTGAATCTGTCTGTTTTTAGTTTCTGCAGAGTTCAGTCAAAAGTAGCATGCTTTCCTTTTTAACATTTTGAATTAAAAAAATTAAATATTAATCATCTTTTCCCCCCTTTGTTTTCTTTGCAGAGTTCTGTCTAACAGAAGCTTGCATCACAGTAGCGAGTAGTCTTCTGATGTCTATGGATAAAGGAGCCGATCCGTGTGATGATTTCTACGAGTACTCGTGTGGGACTTGGGACAAACACAACCCCTTACCTGAAGGGAATAATAGGTGGAGCACGTTTGGACTGCTGTGGCAAGAGAACAGGCTCGTTCTAAAGAACGTTTTAGGTAAGAGCCTGTAATAGGTAGTGTTGTAGTGTAAGGCGCGTTCAGAAACAATACATAAAGTGGGACGAAATCACAATTCATATGATGAAGATGACTCTTTTACCTGGGGGGGTGTTTCACAAAGAGTCTACGTCAAACTTAACTCTAACTTCGACTTAAAATTATGGAGAGCCATTTGTAGCCTCAAAAGAAACATATTCAAAAGCGAAAATTCAAGTATTTTAGACTTTTCATGAAATCTCCTGTATAATAGAAAATATAAATGATTTGAATCAACATTTTATTCCTTTTAAAATAACTTTTACAAAGTATTTTCATATATGCTAATGGCTTTCCATAATTGTTAAGTTCAACTTCATATCTTTGTGAAACACCCCCCAGGTTGTTAAGAATAAGAAAGCAAGTAGGTAAACATCCAGAAGGACCTATGGCTGTCATTCCTATCTGATAAGACTGGCAAGGAGGTATAATGCCTTAATACCAAAGGGCTCTGGTGCACTGACTTGGGTTTCAAACCTAGGTCTTCCCCATGAAGAGGCCACTGCTCTACCACTGAGCCATATCATGTCTCTTTTCTTTTTCTCCTCTCACTTCCTGTGGCAATTATTGTGACAACACATTTTACGCCAAATAACCACAATGTTTTAACTAAAAAGTATTATGTATCAAATTTAAATTGCTTCCAAACTTGATAATTTATGAAGCTTTTTTATTTTCGCACAAAAATTGTGAAATTCTGATCTTGATTCAAAATCTAATGTTAAATTGTTTATACTGAAGAGCTCAAATGACATTAAAGAAAATACTGGTAGACAAGCTGAGAGTGATTTGGGATCATATGTGATCACTAAAGCTGTAAGCCCTTAAGGACATGTCAAATTGGCAAGACCCAGGTGTCACACTCACCTGTCATCACGTTAAGCCCCATTCTTATTACGAGGGTGGGCTCTTAAACTCGCAACCAGCATTCTACTTCCTGAATGCTCCTGCAAATACCAATTTTTCTAGATGCATGCATATTGCAACATAGTTCATCACTCAAATGTTGTGCCATCCCGAGCCTGTGAAACTAGATTTCTAGCTGATGGTGTCTCAATGGTTATGTCACTGTGATCATAAGTCCTTGATATGTCACCAGTGTCCTTGGCAAGACATTGATCTATATTTGCCACTCTCTCCCCAGGTGAAGTAAATGTGTCTCTGGTAGGAAGAAATTGCCTGAATGCGTATTGTAGCACAAATTCTGCTTTTGATTCTTCCTGATGTGTAGGTCTTATTCAGGACAAGAAATATACCTGCTAAACGATTTTCGTAGAAAATATACATGTAAGATATCAAGAAAGATACAAAAATCAAGGTAGAATCTTGACCACCATTAACAAGTGGTTTTATACATGTATTTGTACATGTTATAGTTTTGGTGAATATGAGTTTCAGCAAATGTTTAATATTAAAGTTGATAATATTCTTTTTGTCCAAACAACCCATCTGCTGCATGATAAACAATTCAGAATTGGACCTGAAGCCAGTTTCCCTCATAGAGGAGTTCCATTACTGGAACTCAAGTGTCCATTAAGCTTTTAAACTTGAACTTTCCAGCAGCAATCCACATACATATATGCCTCTTTTACATATGCCGCAGGAAACGGCTGGGGAAAAACTTCTCAGGCATTACTCTTTATATTTTTGTATATTCTAACTAGGCCTAATTCTAATGCACAGGAAAGTTGCATGCAGGTAGTAGGTACCCTTATTCATAATCACCCCCTCTTGCTATTTATTACATTAAAAGACCCATTGCTTAATACCTCATAAGATTATCTAGTTTCATCATTAATGGCCATACTTTAAATAGCAATGGAAATTTGTGGCGTTTTCATGTACTTTTCATAAGTAGATCAATATACATTTCTACAAAAGAGACAAATTTAATATAAGCATTGAGTTCAAGCAACCTCCTTGCAGACATTCCATACGTCAGAAACGTTTTACATATGGTATACATGTATGTGAACAAGCCTATGCTGGCCACCTTGCCCTGGTTTTGACCCACACCAAAGTGAGTACCTGGGATACTAGTACTTGTCAGGGTCCTTGATTTGTAGGGCTTACGCGGACGTGTTTGATTTGTTACCTAAGTGAAATAGGACGCTGCTTTCCATCAGGGACTAAAGCTCGTTGTCATCGTCGCAGAGAAAATTGGAGTGAAAAAGACGACTCTGTGTAACAATACGGACAGTTAGTACACCGGAGAAGGAGTCTTTATGACGATCTAAGCCGTGGTATCAATGAAAACGTAGAGTTACACGTCTGGTGAAATGAGAAAGGAGTGTCGGGTGATCGATGGTTGTGCTAATCAAAGCATTCACTTTGCGATCACGTTTAATTGGAAAATACTTCCTGGGGATCAATGAAATGTTGAGAGATGAGTAATAGAGATTGCATTTGAATGTTAAAGGGAAAATCTACCCAAGTTGACTTTACATCTTTCTCAGAAATCATTTTAGTAAATCCCCATATGTTTATTTCGTTAATTTTAGGACACCTGTTTTTCCACACTTTATGAAATATATATATATTCTTACATCAATGGTATCAACTACCAAGAAGATACCTTAGCTGGTGGGCCCTGTATTATAAAGAGTTGCGATTGAATCAAATCAATCACAACTTAAAATTTATCACCACTGTGTACTTATGAGATAGGAGTTTCGATTTTAAAATTGCAAGTTGAGATTGATTGGAATCAATCGCATCTCTTTATATGGTGTAACCCAGATTTGCTGTGCGTTTCACTTTCTACTTGGAGAATTAAAACCTTTTCAAAGTAATTAATAGCCTGTTAAAACTGCAGGATATAGACATAACTCATATAAATAAATTTTGTGTAGAGAATCATCATATAGCAAAAGGAACTTACAGACTTGCCAACAAAATGGTATTTATAAAAAATGTTTTTCAGTCAAACCTTTCTATAGCGACCACCCAAGGGAAACACAAAAAGTGGTCTTTGTAGACAGGTGGTCTTTGAAGACAGGTTCCTTTAGGACATGTTTCAATGAGAAACCATTTTGAAGGGAAACAACAATTGTGGTCTTTGTAGACAGGTGGTCACCAAAGCAGGTAGTTTTGAAGAGGATAGTTGACATGACAGCTGGCCAATCATCAGTGTGCGCTCACGATAAACCCCGCCCAGTTATACAATTTTCAAATTCTTTTTCATTTCTGCAAAATTGTTTCTACAGGAACTTTGTGTAAAATGCCCAATGCCTGTTAGAGCTAAAGACCAGTTACATGTATGGTCATGCGATTGCATTGTGAAAGAAACGTTGTGTAATCGATCAGAAAAGGTTGATCATCTAGCATAGATGTACTGCAAGGTTCTGGAATCATCAAAATGATAAGAAATTTGGCCAAGTCTTCATAAAGTTAGAAGTACTGTACACAGAAAGATGTATATGGGACTACACACACGTGCACAACACATGCATTTCATATCTCTCAACAGGCGAGAGATGCACTAATTTACCAAATATATCAATTAGTAGGCGGTTTCCTTTCAAAATTGTTATCATCATGTAATATTCAAAACATATTCTTTCACATGATTGGTAATAAGAGCTTCCATTTTATTTTTTGAAATTGGGGCATTTCCAATACTGGTCTTTACCTTTAAATAATTGATTTATGAGTGATGACAAACCAATTGGCTTGGAATAAATCCATAAATCCAATAGATCCCCAAAACATATTAGTATGGAATTCATAAACAGATAAATGTAAATAATTGCTCCTCTGTGGAATGTATTTATCTTTTAAGTTCATCTTTTTGCTTATATGAAAGTCATGAAAACCTCACACATATTTTTATCAACCGGAGTAATAGAGAGTGAAAGTAACTGTTGGATGGGGGAGGGGAGGAGAGGGGGTGGTTCACAACCAGCACATTTGGCATCCTATAAGGGCCCCCTTCTGATCCTCAACCTAAAAAGAACATTCAAAAGAGTGCAATATAGTAATATCCTTTTTCCAATTATCAACAGATTTATTAAAAGTGTGGGGGGGGGGGGGGTCTTTTGCCCTGGTGTCCCCTTTTTTACAAATATCCTGATCTGCCCTCGGCTAAAGGATGAGTGAAACTCTGACTATCATCCTGTTTGGTGCATGCATGGGGTAAACATGTTTGCTAATAGGATCTGAGAAGTAGGGGATGATATATGGTAATTGATGGGGCTGGGAAAGTCGGTCACTATAAGCTGACTTCAAAGTCATGAACATGTTCTAGTGAAATAACCGCTACTTTACTAGATTCACATTCTCGTGGTACTGGTAAATAGTTTATACAGATACCGCACAAAATTCATGGTTGAAGTTTCAATGTTGTTTTATCTTGTATTTTGCTCAGCGTTGAAAAGAAGTTAAACACAATAGTACTAAAAAATCAATGAATGAAAGAATATATATATATATATATATGGTTTGCATCAGTTTTAGGGGGAAAAAAATATTTGCACCCCAACTTGCTTATTTGTCCATTTTATTGTATATGTAGGAACTGTCATGGGTGTTAATTATGTTTAATCAATATCCTATGTTTACCTCAACCCAAAGTACTTATTTATCACCTCATTTGCAGAAAGATATGTCTTCTATTTCAGGTGGTTTACAATTTTATGATTTCATTAAGAAAAACAGAACATTTGATATCAGATAACAATAGAATTCACTTTTTAGTTTTGGGAGTTTTAATTCATTTATCATCTATAGGGCATTTAAAGAGCAGTCCTTTCAGGAGACATGTTCTAAAATATTCTTTCATAGTAACCAAAAAAGAGAATGGAAAAGCTCACAGAGTAATTTCATCTTCCCCCAGAAATCATTCTTCTTTTTAAAACGCACCCTGTAGTTGACTCACTTTATTATTTATGTACCTTTTAGTGAATACTTGTAGATAAAGCATGTTTCACTGCTGGAGGCTAAGAATATTGCTTAATGCTATGGGAGATTATAAATAGAAGAAATGCCTTTTAAATCAGCATACATGTATGTGCAGATGAATCTATATTCTCTTCACAGGTCTTTACACCCTCTATAAAAAACAAATGCTGGTAGAACATGTAAACAAGACACTTAATCGCGTCATATTTCATGAAGGTCAAGTTGTTTCCCTTAGGGTGCCTATTAAATCTTAATTGTTTGTCACCTCACAGTATGGACGTGTATGTGGTGAGGGTTTTTTTTTCAGTGGCGTAACTACAAGGGGGCAAGCGGAAAGTGCCCCTCACCCTTTATTGGCTTATTGTCACATTGCATGAATATCATGTTGTTTTCTCTTAGGGTGTATATCTTATTAGATCTAATTGTCTGTCACTCCACCCTCCACCCTCCACATAATGTTTGTGATGAGGGATGTGTTAGGAAAGTGCATATTAAACATGCATTATGTTAGAGGCGTAGTTCAGGGTGGGCAACAAATGCTCAAAACAATCCTGCGCATCCTACTACGAAGAGAAAGTAAGAAGAGAAAAGAGAAAGGAAGAGGAGTAAAGGGAGTGTGAAAAAATGAAAACAATCACCATTAAATGTGTTTTAAAAAAGAAGTACATGACCGTATACATTATAGTTTAAATGTTTAGGCTTTTATTGAACCTGATCTGAATGCTTAGCCCCACTGTACTACTTTTAGCTACTTGCTCCCTCTATATAGAAAACAATGCCTAATCAGTGCCTGTTGGTCCTCCATGATCCTCTTTTTCTTATGTTAATTGAGTGCTGAGTTGATGAGACAGCCACCTGTCAGTGACCTTGCTGGGTGGTCTAATCCCTCTGGCCAAACTAGTACAGACAGCCTTTAAGATGTATTCAGTCTTCATGCATATCTATCAAACAACCACATGCCAATTTATTATATCTAGACCAGTTTAACGGTTAACTCTTTTCCACCCAGTTCTGAATCGTGTATTCTGTCAGACCGAAAAGAGCCTTATATCCATTGAGAACTTAGATTTTAAGGCAGCATATCAAAGTGAAATAGCATGTATTATCACAGCTTTTAGCACAAAGGACTGCATCTGACAATTCCTTTTTAATTTGTTTTCCATAATTTTCACCTATTTAGCTATAATAAATTGGACTCTGATACCGGGTATGTGCCTGTCCCCATTTAAAGGTACTAGATATTAAAAACTGGGCATCATTATAGGCCAGGTGTGTTCCTTTGATAAAAATTACAGGTTTGTTTGCCTCTCTATTCAACAAAGCTTTGGAAACAGAGGTAAAGGCACTATAAATCAAGTCTTGAAATATTTTCCTCATCAATTCTTTTGTTTTGTTGAGCTCTGTTTTTCCCCTTGAGATATTTTCCTCATGGAATCTTATAAAACCCATGAGTGATTCCATTCAAAATGTGGACATGCCCAGGTCTTAAATGTGAACGTATATATATGCGCTGTCATGTCGTAGTACCAGGAGGCGATCGGAAGACCGGAGAAAAACTTATTACAAAAACCATCCAGTCGTGTCTCCTCACCGTAGATTGGTGTCACAGTGCATCAAATTTGATCTCGTTTTCAGAAATTATAGAGTCACGTGACCCAAACAATTGGTGGCAGTGCGCTCAGGTAACCGACTTAAAGGTAGCCTGCGTTTGCTCAATTTCTTTCTTCTTTTCGTTTTTCTTGGAAATCAACCCTGAATTTGATATCTTGGGTTGATGAAGTCTACTCCTAGGGTATTTCTCTGAACTTGAATTGATCGTGGATGTGGGTCACATACATTATATATATATATTTCCTTGAAAAACAATTACAGGTGAAGGGCCGATTTATTAATTTACTGTAGTCAGTGCTGTACAATGTACAAGTTTAAGTTATGCATTCAGATTTTTTTTGTTGTGTGTGTCTTTCTTTCTCTGTGACTATTCTGTCTCAGAACTGACATTAAATGGATAAAGTGCAATGCTATCCTGATGTAACTGTAGAATGTACAGTATATAGTCACATTTGCTCTTGCAATATTTTGATTTGATTTGATTCGGTTCATTGCAATAATGAACATGCAGCTGGAAAGCTGAAATTATTCAATTTACAAAGTCAATATACAACACGTTAAACGATCAAAATATGAATGACTAAAACGTACAACTACAAATCATTCATAATGAAACAAAATGAAAATCAAGTATTACATCATCTAAATACATTACAAATATTACATCAAAATCTAAATATATTACAAATATTAAAAACATTAAAAACCTTCTGTGTCATCAAAAGAGAGAGAGAGAGAGAGAGAGAGAGAGAGAGAGAGAGAGAGAGAGAGACGGAACTAGAAAGAGGAATAAAAGGAAGAAGAAAAAAGAAAGAAAAGTTGATCAGAGAATATACAAAAGATTGGAGGAGAGAGGTAGAGAAGGACAGAGTAGAACAAGAAAAAATAGAAAGAGAGGATCGAGAATCGTACAGTCTTGAGGAATGTTTTCATATTTGGTCTGGGCTTTGTATTGTCAAAGATACAGGAATGGGATTATGGTTGCAAATAATTTAAAGTGATAGTTATGGAAAGGATGAAGGTGAGGTGTAGCACTTGGTCAATAATTGAAGTGAGAGACATGCTCTGTGTATGAACTTAACGGTGGAGTAGTTATCACTGGAGCATATCGTCATCGTTCAATTTGCACGATATTGTAACGTTGCCATTTGCTGTCTTCATCTGATATGAACCTAGTGCTTTCTCCTGATAGTTAGATTTTTAACCTTTTTTTATGTAAAAAAATATGCATCTTTTAATGTTATCGGAGCTACACCTTTCAAGTGCACTGCTTGTTTGTAGTTTCTCTTTCTTTGTCACTGTTATCGTATTATTGAACTGTTTTTTTAATGCAGCTTTTATATGATGATGATTTTTTTCTGACTTGTTTTTCAATTACAGATCGATCAATCGATCTTATTTACTGGGTGTAAGCCACAAATATGTTCAAACTATTGAAATGAAATATGTTGATAACAAGAAATTGAAGGTTGGTAGGATGTAAGGCTTGAAAATTTTCTGTGATTCGTGCATGGAGTTAAATTTGCATTTGTTTTGTAACAGAGCTGCAAACAAATATCAGAATGGAATGAAATATAAATATGTATGCACAGTATATCATCTGATCAGAACTGGGAGGTTTTTAAGTCCATGTTCATTTAATTCTCCTCTATCTCCAAACAGAAAATATATTTTTTGTCCATAAAGGTTCTACTTTGGGTACACGTGTATACATGTATATTGTTTAATGATTATTTTTCTCTTTCTTTATTTACAGAAAGTGAGCTGAACACAACGAGCAGTGCGGAGTTAAAAGCCCAGGATTTCTTTATATCTTGTATGGACGAGGATAGTATAATAGAGAAGCTGGGTGCCAAGCCTCTCCTAGACATCATTAATTTGCAGGTCAGTTCAAGCAATTAACCAGGGTAACAAGATTATTAGATTAAGATATCGGAAGTATCAGGCGCTCGATCTCCTCGGGGTAGAGGCAATGCAGTGCAAGTGAATGAAGCGGGTCAGCAAGTTTTTGGAGACTTTTCTTTCTATTAAAGCCCGTCTGTACTAGTTTGGCCAGGTAGTTTCATTGTCATTTGTTGGATTCTGTGAGAATTTATTTTCTATCATTACCAGAACTTAAGGTTATCTTTAAGAAAAACATATCCCCTTGGCAGTCTCAAGATTCAAAACCATGACAGTTGACTTCGAAATACCTTTGTGAAGGAGTGGACATGAATGTCATGAATTCAAGCCCAATAATAAAACCCATAGATCAATCCAAAATGGAAATCAGCAGGTAAATATCAACCCCTTTCTTCATGCTGTTCCGCCTTTCAATATATCCGGACCACATGAAGCCTCTACATAACTCATACATTCTTCTTCGCCATGCTATCTCTGTTTTCCACTAATCAAATTTGATTTCCAACTGGGTCATTCTCGCTGGTGCTAGCAGGCAGGTGGCCATAGGTTATAAACGACGATTATGATTGATTTTTGGACCAGAAATACCAACTTGAGAACCTAATTGGCGATCATCCAGTTTTCTGTTGTCAGTATTTGCCTTAGCATTGTACATACATAAACATGTGCCTGTATGTACATGTATATCAAAACTTGATGTATGTATTTGCATGTATAATGCATAGTAGTAATTATAATGGAGAGAAGTTGGGTTTATCTGTATGGTTTATACATGTTTATTTATAATCCAGTTTTTATCATACTATATTTTTGTAGTCGGTATATTTATATTTGATGATACATTTTCAATTCTACAATAAATGCACACATCACATAAGGACTTACTATTAAATTGATTATTAAAATAGCATTGAATATGATTGTTATCAAAATGAACAAGACTTTAGGAGCACGGATATGTATCCCCTAAAAATTGAAGGATAAGGGACTCTAAACAAATGTTTTGCTAGTTTTTAAATGAAACATTTACAGTCTGGCAGTCAGAATTAAAATTTTAAGTGGTTGCATAATTAGTACTGATGTTGTATGAGACAAACACCAACTCACTGCACTCTTACATGTACAACGACAGAACAGATATGTTGCAATAGTAAGCCTCTATCTTAAAAACAGATAAAGAACTTTTATAAACTTCAAACACTATTGTACATTTTTAGTAGAGCAGTATACAACCTCTTTTATAAGAGGATGAAACTGACATGGATTGTGAAAGGTCATGCCTATGTGTATTATAGAAGCCAAGAAATCAAGGCCACACATGTGCTACTTTATAGCAGCTATTCTATCAAACATACATTATAAGGAGATTGCTTCTGAATGATACACAGCTGGAAAAGTATGTAACCCCCCAAGTGTGACATTGACATCAAAGAGAAAAAAAAGATGACTCTTCGCTACACTTTGATGTTATTTTTTATAGAGGACTATTTTTAGGCAAGGTAGCATGCTCCTGTCAACATTTCTTTGAAGCTAATCTTGAGCTCTGGTTTGGGAATCGTATTTTGAGAGAAAATTGCTATGATTTATTCTGGGTTGTTTATCCTGCAGTAGATTGATTGTTTGAACCAGTGAAATAAAAAAAACGAACACAAATCATCTTCGATAAAAACCAAAACTCCCATTTGCACATTATAAGCACCGGTGTCAGACCTACTTTATATACATACCTTTATTTCCTTATCTTTCTATAATACTGATTACTCAGCCATTATACATTTTCTACCTACATTGTATGGCACATGTCATTTATTTGTCATCTTGAACATTCAGTATAAGTTTTGTTATTCACCAGAACTCTAAATCTTTGAAAGAGATTTTCTTGACTTCCAGAGGCTCTTGCATGACTTTCATTGTTATACAACTTACAAAACAATGGCAATTAGTCTTTCAACCAATCAGAATCTGTTTTTTGAAGGATTGCATTTGACTTGTTGTAGCATTCCGTTTTATCACAGTTTATCATGCAAGAGGCAACAGAACTTTTTAATTCATGTCACTGATTTTGTATTTTGTAAACAATCCCAGCTTGATATTCAAATTTGTATCATCAGAAAATGAGACATAAATAGAGCAGAAAAAGGGTTAATTGATTGTATATGCTACTTCAGAAAACCCAAGCAGTTATGATTTGGAATCCATTTTGCAGGTTTGGTCAGCATCGAGTTCGTAGCCAAAGATCATGCCAAAAAAGGGAAACCCTTGATGAGATAACCAGGAATTCCAGAATTGGATGATAGAGGTACAATGTAGATGGAAGGCTGCTGATCTACTGTGAGAGGCTATTTTGATATGATTCCCGGAAACACAAAATTGATGTATTTTCCTATAGAGAATACTGTATGTGTGTATAATCCATCAAAGATTTGACATTTCATCTGCTGAAAACTAGAAGGACATAAATTCATTAAACACAGAGTTTATGATATTGCTCTCATTCTCTACATACGATTTATCCATTTTAATTGTTTATTTTGCATTGTGCGCCGCAGGAAGCCAGAAAGGCATCGATCAGCTCTCTGTAAAGCATTCTTAGTTTATACCTTTCTTGATTGCAACAGACGAGAGTTACCAGTTATTTCAAATCTTTTGTACAAAACATTTGTCTGTGGATTTCCTACCTCCTTTCAGCCACGTTTAGAGGTTCTTAACTTATTTTCAGCTTTGCTGCCGAAAAAAGAAAAAAAGCAGAATCATTGTAGAATTTGGCAAGGTAAACAACAAAAAAAGAACAAAAAACACTGTTGTTTTTTATAGAAATGGTAATATTAATTTGATACACACATGTCTACATTTTACATTTAATATATTATGTGTGATATCGTCCTTGTTTTCACGAAGTGACGGTAGTGAGGAAAATCGTAACGCAAAGTGAATGCAATTTTTTTTCACTACCGTCACTTCGTGAAAACAGCGACGATATGGTTATATGGTTTAGTATACATTTTATTATAATCATATGTGGTTGATTTCAAACTACATATTGATTAATCTTGGGCGTATCGATTTCCACATCTGCTTCTCTCGAAGCCGTAATATGCAAACGACTGAATGAATCTCTTCTCATTGATTCCACGATTGAATTCACACCTGAATTAATAAGCAGGGTAGAAGCACCTGCAAGGCTCTAATAGGATCTCTGACTTGATTCTTTTTGGGATATTTATTATTTGAATCAGGGTTGGCAGTGTGTGAGATCTCATGTCATGCTATAGGATATCTCATAATGTTGAATGCAGGGCCCTGGGAGTGTTTTTTGTTGTTGTTTAATGGGTGCATAGATAGAACACTATGCACTGCCAGTGGCATATATATCCAGGCTTCTCTGGCTGGAGAAGGAGAGGGGAGGGGGGGGGGGGGGGGGGGGGGGGGGCACAAGTTCTTGGAGCAGGAACAATAACAATAACAACAAATAACAAAAAAGCACCATGATAAAAAAGACAGAAAGAACCTACAATACCAACAAAACACAAGAAACCAAAATACTCTAGCAAAAAAAAAAAGAAAAAAGAAAAAGACGATTAAACAAAAACAACAACATATACCTCTTTGGGAGTACTGAGGCTTGAGAATTTGTCTTTGATGCCCCTTGGGATCAATAAGGGGTTCTGAAGCACCCCTAGTGCCCCCTAGCTTCCAGATCCATAGTTGAATGTCCGCATTGAGATGACATTTTACTGTCTCCTGGTGTGTGGGATGTCTCGCTTTGATATGAAATGCTGATATGATAACCATGATTAAAATGACACCTGATTAGACAGTGTTGTTAAAGCCCATATAAAACAGTGCAAGAAGACATGCTCTAGTTTGAGAGGTTGCCCCATTTCTCATAGCCTAGTTTCTAAGCTCGATTAGTTTTTCTCAGCTCAAAAAAAAATGATGTGTTCACCTTGAGTGAGTCCAGTCTGGAACTATCAAAACTAGCACACTCAGTCAAAACTTAAAGTACACGATGCAAGTTTAAATTTAAGTAGTTTATTCAATTAAAATCATGAAATAATCATGATTAATTGATTGTTACAGGTCTTCAAAACATTAGAGAAACATTTTGAATGGAAACATAACCTAGACAACACAAAGGGGAAATTATATCAAAATAAAAATGTGCATATCCTAGATTACCCTTGGTGAAGCACGAAGAGGGAATCTTTCCCCTCTACTGTCAAGGCTAGCATTAACCAAGGAGCTTCAAACAGGGTCCATTAAGCCACTCATCATGTTCATCATGATTACTTTTTCAGTGTGAACAGCCTTATGCTTACATGTATAGGGTTGAAAGAAATGGAATGTTACTGGTAATCCATTGAAGTTTGGCATTAATATCATCAACATGTGTAGAGTGCAAAAAGTCCTACCTGAGGAACGTGTACTCTTATTTGTGAACCTTGCATGGTCCTGGGTTATTTTTTATTTCAGTGTTGAAATGTTTTTTTACAATAAAGATAAATTAATAACCTCTGTAAAATATGCATGTAAAGAGGTGATAGATACTGGAGGATATATAACCTCCCCGTCCTCCCGGTAGTCAAAATAATTTGGGTGTGATCCTTGAGTTCTAGATCTAAGGCTGAATTATTTTGATACAATGTATACATTCCTTGAGTTGAAGATGAGGGGCTGAAGCGCTGTAATCAGATTCAGCTCTTTGGAGGTGATAGAAGACTGTAATAGTGTTATGTAGCTAGAGTCCAGGTGGGTCAGTGAACTCGATTGTCATGATTTAATAAAAAAGAACTTTCTAGTTGAGAGAAGATTTAATGATAAATAAAGAATTTGGGCACCTTTTGGAAGAGAAGCTTTTTTAAAAAGGAGTTTGAACAATTAAAGTTGGAATTGAAGAAGATGCCTGAATGGTCAAAGTTGCCAATTTTTGTTTATTAATTATAATTTTTTAAATTCTTAGCTTTCTTATCCTTTAACACACTGATTGGTTTTCTCATTCAGCTTTTAATGAAGCAAACCTGTTTTCAACTTGGACTTCTTTTGTAAGATCTTATTCACACATTATATAAGCCACCTAAAGAAATAGTCATGGTAAAATAAAGTGACACTGGCGAAGTGTGCCTCACAATTTTCTTTGCCATGTGCTGCTGACTCTGTTTTTCAACCTCATTTTGGGTATTCAAGTAGACTAAAGATGATCTTCAATATGTTGCAGATTTGTTCTTTTTAATTTTTTCAATATGTCATGTCTAAAAATGCTTTACATCTCTAGAGATTTGTTCTTTTGAATACATGTTAGTATTTAAGAATTAAATATATGAATATTCTTATGATTATTTCTCCTTTGTAAAATGGGGACTGGCTGGAATGCTCCCCAGGGAGTGGAAAATGTGCACACAAATGTGTGCGGTTAAGCCTGAATCCGATGACTGGGGTAATCATATATCTGTAAAGTGCTTAGGCACATCGTTTGATTGGTGTATTTAGCGCTATAAAAAAACGGAATATTAGTATTATTATTATCTTTAATTATACTTGATTTTATTTATTGTCTTCATTTCAGCTAGGAGGTTGGAACGCCACAGGAACATTCAACACAAGCACGTATGATTTCAATCAGACTATCAGAGTACTAGGTACATCCTACAGCGAACAACCTTTCTTTAGTTTGTTTATTGCTGGCGATGACAAAAATTCATCAAGAAACATATTACAAGTGAGTCTATCAATCTGTGACAATATACAAGTGAAACGTCTACTGACATGTTTATATTTCTTTTCCCTCGCTATCCAACCTTCCCCCACCTCTCTTTCTCTCTCTCTCTCTCTCTCTCTCTCTCTCTCTCTCTCTATATATATATATCTTTCTCTCTCTTTATCTCTCTCTCTCTCTATATATATATATATATTTATATATATCTTTCTCTCTCTTTCTCTCTCCCTCTCTCTCTCTCTCTCTCTTGCTCTGTTTTTCTCTCTCTTTATCTCTCTCTCTCTCTCTCTATATATATCTATATTTATATATCTTTCTCTCTCTTTCTCTCTCCCTCTCTCTCTCTCTTGCTCTGTTTTTCTCTCTTGGTTCTGTCTTTTTCACTCTGGGTTCTTCTTCCTTCTTTTCTCCTTGACTTCTCTGCTTTGTTACATGTCACCCCCCCCCCCCCCCCCCCCCCCCCTCTACTTCATTTTCTCTCATTCTTTGATTTAATTGCTCCTCTAATACACTTGCACAATCTTACCCTCCTGAATATCCTTCCTATCTCTGTGTATCTCTGTAATCTTTCCTTTTTCTCTGCCAATTAGAAATCTGTATATCATGTATCATGGTATATTTCATGATCACGCTTCCATTTCAATTTCAATTTCAATTTCAAATTGTCTAGACAATGATAACTACCAAATTAATTAATGTATTTCGCTGTCACTATGAACATGACTGACAAAGAAAGAGGACAAAATATACAGTTCCTTATTCTACACTCAACAATTGCTGTGGTAGAAAAAGGAACATCCCTTCACTGCTATTAAAAATTGTAGAAAAGGGGTCACATCGTCCTTGTTTTCACGAAGTGACGGTAGTGAGGAAAATCGTAACGCAAAGTGAATGCAATTTTTTTTTCACTACCGTCACTTCGTGAAAACAGCGACGACATGCATATTCACCTGTTCTACACATTTTTACTTCAGCAGTGAAGGGATGTTCCTTTGTCTACCACAGCAATTGTTGAGGGTAGAATAAGGAACTGATATTTTGTCCTCTTTCTTTGTCCGTCATGTTCATATTGTGTCTGCATACCTTGTGAAATGCTATTGAATTACTTGACATCGATGATATTTTATTGTGTACATAAGACTATATTTTACAATTTTAAGCCATTGCATTTGATTTGATTGCAAAGAGAACTGGGTTGCCCTTGGATTTAAGCCTATAGGAATAAGAACAAGATTAGATCCAAACAAGTTTATTATAATAAATCATTTAGATTTTGAGAACATTTTTATTTAAACCTTTATGTTTTGGAGTAATTTACCAACCCACAGAATTAGCTTTGTAGGGTAAATACGTGACGTTCTTCTTTGATGCTACATAATAATAGTCATAATATTATGAACGTCAATGGTACAGACCGTATTGTGTAGAATTATAAAGTAGGGCTTTTCTTTGTATGGTGACGGTTAAGTAGTAAGTTCACATCTACTATTGATCATAGATGTAAGGGGCGAGGTCGATGGGAAGGGGCGGAGTGGCAGGTGGTGGTGGGATAGCTGGTGGTGGTGGGGTTGGAGGAAGGGGTCGTGGAGGGTGGGGCAAGGGGTCATAGAGGATGGGGCAAGGGGGTAAGAAGTCTAGCATTATAAAATCATTGTGTGCCGGCCAAAATGGTGCAAATATGAATTTTTGTCTTTTTATATATTATTATATATTTCTATTTGTTTTCCAGATTGCTCAGTCAGGTTTATTACTTCCAGATTCAAGTTACCTCATCAACAAAACAGAGGAAGACCCGGTAAGAGATCAATCTATGTATTATCTGCTTAGCCTTTATAGGTACCTTAGCAAAATGTATAGTAGCACTAAAAGATGCGTCCGGAACATCAAATTGATATTAAAGTGTTCATTAGGACAATGTATATTTTATATTTCAACAACTTTCTCATTTGTTCCCACAGTAAAAATTTCAATTTTTCACAAATGTATAACTCAGGAGGGTCTTTTCTCTTAAGAGGACCTTTAATAATATGTTATCCATGAAATACTTTGAGTAGTACCCCAAGGGAAAAGGCACTTAGAAAAACAGAAATTAATGATATTTTTGTACACACAAATGGGAGAGTTATCCGCGTCTACGTCACGGACTACTGACCAAACTGCCAATTTGAGATTCACACTTATTTCGTGAACCCATATTTCAAACATTCGCAACTCTCTTATTATTGGTCCGATTTATTTCAAATTTTTACCCTTGTGTTTTCTTATTTTCCTGCTTTTATACACATAGGGAGTGTTTCACAAAGACTAAGATCAACTTTAAGTTGGACTTAAATATGGCTGGCCGTTCATGCCACTGTTTTCTCTCACCATTTACTGGCATTGGTTTTTCAAGGGACGTACAAATCATGGTCACAAAATTTAGAGAACTTACATTTTTTTGATAATTCATTATTGAAGGAAAAAAAATATTATCTAAAGATCATAATGGTGAGAGCAAACAGAACAGCCTGCCATATTTAAGTCCAACTTAAAGTCGATCTTAGTCTTTGTGAAACACTCCCTAGGACCTATTACGAGGGTTGGATTGCCCTTTAAAGCTATTGTATAGATATACATGTACTTTGTATGTGACTGTTCCTACTTCCTGGGGGGTGTTTCACAAAGATCCTAAGTTGAACTTATCTCTAAGTTGGACTTAACAATTATGGAAAGCCATTAGCATCCTTTAAAATATTTTGTAAAAGTTATTTTAAAAGGCATAAAATGTTGATTAAAATCATTTATATTTTCTATTATCATGGGAGATTTCATGTTCTTGATGTGGAATTTATGAAAAGTCTAAAATACTTGAATTTTTCCTCTTGAATATATTTCATTAAAAGGCTACAAATGGCTCTCCATACTTTTTAAGTCCAACTTAGAGTTAAGTTCAACCTGGAATCTTTGTGAAACACCCCCCTGTTGTGATGTATAGGCCCCCTGGATAGAGTCATAGAAGATAAATGCTTGTTTGATTGATGTGGTCCACTTTTGATATTACACCGTCAGGTCCAATCCTTCATTTACAGTGTGCATGCTGTTATATGAAATATGAATCCACCATACCGTACACTGTATGATTGTACTGTGATCATATTCAGAATGACAAACCATATAAGAGGAAGTTTATATAGGAAAAGGTGTGAAATCTGTTTGATTAAGATTGCAAGTTGTTGTACGAATGTTTATAATAATAATAATAATAATAATATGTCTTGTTTACCCAGGGTAGCCTCATCAGTATTAATACTGTTCACCCTAAGGGGCCCTGCAATCATATTATTTGTTTGATAGTAGGCTAATTTACATTACATTTTATTCAAACAATTTAGCAAGAAAAGAAAAAAATTATTGTTGCCAATTTGAAGAACATGATGTGATCAACTTACCTCTGAAAATCAATCCTGGAAGGATTAAAAGTGACATAAGTTCACACCACTTTAACTCTTGGCAAAAGGATTCTTTTTTTAAATATACAAAACTGTGCCTTTAGATGTACATACTTTATGTTGAACACCAGAAGTATGTTGACATGGTTTTTTAATGGAAAGTACGTCCACCCTAATATTAAGTTGGTTTTAAAGGACGCATACAAATTAAAGAAACGGGTCAGTGAAAATTTGAGCACAAACCGATTAAAAATAAGAAAGTTTTGATTTTTTTTTCCCTGCATGATATGTCACAATGTTGTCAGTTTATTTTTCACTGATAACAACTTAAAAAAATCAAAAGCTTCCTATTTTTACTCAGATTTTGCTCAGATTTTGCTCAAACTTTGCTCAAACTTTCACATATTTGTTTCTCTCATTTATGTGATTTTATTGAAACCAACTTAATATCAGGGGTGGACTTTCCCTTTAAGTGGAATGAGTTACAGTCAATAAGATGGAGATTGACCATTAAAGAGATGCTGTGTGGTTTTTCTCACCTCACCACATATCTCCCTATGGATGTCTTCACAACCCATTACATTTATTCCCTCTCACCATTATCTATCTGTCTTTATTAAGAAGAGAAGGAAAAAAAGAGGAAGATTGAGATGAATAAAAGGAATTGAAGAAAAGATGAAAGACCAAACAAATGAAAAAAAGCTTTTATTGAAGCGATATGAAGAGCCTTGGTCCATTATCACTCTTCACCGGAAGGGCGCTTGTTCCGACGTCGACGACGATGTAGTCTCTTTCTCTCTCTCGTTCTCCCCCTTTTGTAGGGGCTATGATCAAATTTCAATTTTCATGCTGTAATTTGATCTCGGCTCTATCCAAATGGTATCATTGGTCGGAAAGATGGTAAAAGTGAACAAAAAGAAATGAGTAAGCTGCCCTGGAAGAGGCTCCGATCAAGAAATAAATGAGAAATTGCTCTACATTTCAAAGCGTTACAGATTGCAATGCGGTCCCTGGATAGGAAGAGTGTAGTCACTTTATTTTATTACAATCCAACTGCGCAGTTTTGCTTTTAGTTGTGAGTTGTTCAACTAAGCAGTGCCTATAGCCCTTCATAATTGTGCACATCCAAGGACCTGGAAAATTCATTTGGTCTGTTTGGAGCCAGAAGGGCATTAACTCATATACTTTAACTCAGATTTAACGCCCTTCTGGGTCTGAACAGACTATAGACATATAGGCCTATTATCTTCCGTTTGATTGAAAGTACAATATTTCTCTATTCAGAGCAAATGAAGCAACTTTGACAAGAGAATTCAGTTTTTCTTTTATTATCTTTTAAATGTGTATAATTAAAAACTCACTTGCCAGTCAACCCCTTAAAATATGTCCTGTGGGGATTTTTGTTATTATTTGTATCTTGTAAAATATTCTTAAGTCCATATTCTTTGCATGTATGACATAATATTTATTGTAAAGTTCTAATCTTTCTTGGGCAGTTCAACCTTCCCTCTGAGAATGAGTAGCTCTAACTTTGTCCCCCTTGAAAGAAACCCATTTTAGCCCTGAGGTATATTTGCAATCTCCGCTTAGCACTCATAAAATGTACAGTAGAGGAACGGCAGCCGCAGGCATATGTACGTTGCAGAATTTAAGTAATGGGGAAACAATCCTCAAAAGTAGCTGCAATAGTTTGGGGGCTGATTGATTTTTTTCCTTTCCCATCGCATAGTTAGTGATTTCTGAATAGCATGTACATGATTTCATGGAGTGAAATCCTGAACATTGTAGGAACTGTGATTTTTGTCTTGTTTTATTTAAGTGATTTCATTTTTCCCTTTTGGAAAGACTAGTACAAAATTGAATATATCAAACACATTGATCTCAGTTTAAAGGTAATACAAAGTTTTGGTATGGGGTCATGAATTTGGTTCAAATGAACATAATGGAAGCATATGCGATCCTACAATATTCAGTGATCGTTATCGCAGTTGAAATCGAGTCTTAAGTTAGGAAATTGGAAATAATTAACTATTTATGTTGTATAGCTCCCTCTCAAGGCCAAGATATTAATTAAGCTATAAAACAATGCTTCTTGACTAAAATCGACCGATTAGCTATTCCCATCTGGAAATTTTATATCACAATTACATTTTCTGAGATTTTCATGGTCGCAGCAACTATTGTATGGCCGTAGGCGCTATTTGAAATTCATCAAAATTTACCGGGAGCACCGGTAAATTTGTATATTCAAGTTTTCTCGAAAGCAGAAGCGTTTTAGGGACTAAATTTTCTAGTGCTTATTATTCATCCACAGGAGCATCCAAATATATCAAAATTGAAAAGAATCACTATCCACCCAATTTTCGAAATGTCCCAAAACTTTGTATTACCTTTAAGGCTTAATTTGCCTGAAGTAATTTTGATACGGGCCTGGTAAATTGAACCCTGCCCAGACCAAACATTTTGCTGGAGAGAAAATTAATCTTACAAATTTTCCAGAGGCTTTCAGTTATTTATAAAGAGTTTAACGCAACTTTAATACCTTACTTGTACATATAGATTCACTTTTTTATAGCTATTCCATTGTCCCTCTTTTTTTCCAATCTCATCATTGTAAATTGATTTCTTCTAGACATCAAATGACCAGGTTGCCTACAGTGTTGCTGTTTCATTTGTCTGTAGGGCATACATGATGTTTGAAGAAAAATATATAAAGAGCTTTAGAAGCCCCCTGGATGAATCGCCCCTTGATAACTGCTCTCTAAGATAGTTATTACCGGTAATAATAATAATAATACATAAGATTTCTAAGGCGCCAAATCCACTTGACAATCAAATGCTCAAGGCGCAGCTTGTGCAAAAGATGAAAAACCTGATAAATGTATACAAAAGTGCAATAGGAAAGGTACAGACATGAAAGGTAATGGTAATCAATTATAAGCTAAATCAAACAGATATTTCTTAAGATTGTTTTCTAACACTTCACCAAAACTGCTATTCCCCTTAGGACAGTGCAACCTTTGTAGGTGATTCTGTTTTTTCCCCTCAAACTCTGACAGGTGTACAACTTGACAACTACATGTACCCCTGGCTGACTGTCCTCTAAGATTATTACCCCCCCCCCCCTCCCAACAAGACAAATACCCTTCTTTCGATCCAAATCAATCGCAAGTTGCAGTCTCCTACATACATAGTTGCGATTGATATCAATTGCAAATAAGTTACGATTGATATTAACTCTTTGTAAGACGGGGCCCAGCACATGAAAGGATATCTATTCAAATCCACCTGTTTGTGAAACACCCTAAAAAGATGCACACACAGGGACTGTCTTCACATACCATGTATTACAACTCTACATGTACAAAGAGGCATTCACAACTAGAGGAAAATACCCTCTCAATATGCAATTGATTTTGTTTCTATCCAAATGAATTCAAACGTGACTCCTGTCCACTAAGAAACACCTGCAAGTCTGCGAGTAAGCTATCCACTCCAAATCTACAGGGTTTAATTGTGCTAGGTGATACCTGACACCTCTGTGTATGGTTATAACTAGTTTCGCATGTAGGACTCTACAACAGAGAGGTGAAAGAGAGACACTTGTGTATATCACAAGTTGTTGAGGCAATCAAGAGCTTTTTCACCTTTGAGGCAATCCTCTACCCCAGTAAAAAAAATTATTGTAGGCCTATGCAGTCTGTATCATGTGATTGAGCAATACATTTTTGGAGGTAGAAAGATGGGAAGCTTTGCATTTCATAGGAACATCATGTTTGATATACAGTAGGCTTGCGGGTGCACCATGTGAGAGAGAGAGAGAGAGAGAGAGAGAGAGGGTTGAGGAGTCCTGAAAAGGACTCTGACTCGGTAATCTTTCTTTGGGGTGTGTAGTCCTGAAAAGGACTGTTTGTTATCTTTTTTAGCGCTAGGAGAGGATGAGTGGCTCGACGTTTCGAACACGTTGACGATGGATCGTCCTCAACCCTCTCTCTCTCTCTCACATGGTGCACCCGCAAGCCCACTGTATATCTACATCACCATACAAGCCGACACTTTCAAGCATCATATTTGATGAAAATAATATTATGTTCATGTGTAACACGTATTGCATTGTGATATAAAATCTCTATGGACCTCTAAAGAACTTTGGATAGTATTACCATGGACCATGGTATTAACATGATGGCTTTAGCTCTGACAACCTTAGTGCTTAGTGCATCCAAGGAATAATGACGGTGATAGTGATGATGGTGGAAGTTTTCTCCAAGTTTTCACTGAGTTTCTTCTTGCTTTAACTAAAGTTTTAACTACCGGTAAGTTCCTTCTATCTTCATTCACCAGGTTTTAGCAACATACATGATGATGATCATGATCATGATGATGATGAAAATCATCCCAGAGTTTCTTCTTTCCATTTCCTACCAGATTTTAGCAGCATTCATCAGAATGAAAATGATCATGAAAATAATTATCTTGATATTTCATCGTTTTTATTTTCATGCAGATTTCTGTCTAGCATACATCGTGATCATAGTGAAATAATCATTGATTCCTTTTTTTCTTTTTCTGTCAGAACTTTACATCAAAGTTTTGATAACAATAACTTAATTTTTTTCTTTTTTTCTTTATTTTAGGTTTTAGGAGCATACATTAAGATGATGGTGACAATTGCAAAGCTAATGGGAGCTGAGGAAGAAGACGCACACAGACAGATGAGGGCAGTATTGCAATTTGGACAAGATATTGCAAATGTAAGTTTTTATCTTATTCTAAACTAATACTACAACAACAACTACTGCAGATATTGCAAATTTAATTTTTTGTCCTCTACTACTACTAATACTACTATGAGCACGACCATGACTATGGCTATGTCAACAACTGTGACTACTACTACTACTACTACTACTACTGCTACTAATATTACTGCTCCTCCTCCTCCTCCTCTTCCATTTTTTCATCTTTCTCTTTGATTTTATTGTGCAGATACAATATAAGTATCGCTGTGTAACCTCATAAATGTGTATTTTCATTCTCTAAAGACTGATTATTGGCAATGATTTTAGATGGAAAATTGTCTATGGAATCTAAATATACCTCCTATCCATCCCTCCCTCCCCACCCACCCACCATCTCCTCCACTCTTGTTTTGTTTTGTTTTGTGGCAGGGGGACCTGAGTATTGTCATACATCATGTTTTATGGATCTTGTTTCCAATTAGATTTCAGTCCGAGATACGAACACAGAGGATCAAGACCCTGAGATGCTGTACCATCTCAAGACAATCACTGACCTGCAAGGTATCATGCCTGCTGTAAGTATATCACTATGTGAGGAGATGGTGTATAGATTTGTGGTGGGCATGGTAGCTATCTTGTGTGTTTAGCAGTGGTGGAGATGTTGTGGAGGTTGCAGGGAGGATGATGATGGTGGTTATGATGATGGTGATGATGTTGATGATGGTGATGATGATAATGCTGATGATGATGATGTTCCATCTCAAGAACATATTCAAAAACATCATAGGGTCTCAGAGGTTTTGATTGTTTATTTAAATTAATTTTAGATGACCAGTTCATTAACAATACAAATCAAACATTTACTTCACCTGCACACACCCACTTGCACACACTTGCACATTTTTCTTCTTTTTTCTTTTATTAATTTCTTTCCACTTTTTATTCAGATACTTTCTGAACAAAATCTTTATATGTGACTCTCTATTCCCCTACATTGTCCTAAAACAGCGCCATGTACCCCCCCCCCCTTCCCGGCTGCTATCGACTCAAGCTTCTTTGCTAAATGATAGTTGGCCTCTGCATTTATCTTGATTATTTTTACTTACCTCCATACTTTCAAGCTTTCAATTATGTATTTTTTTAAATATTTGATTTTGTGTGTATTAAGTTGTCACTCTTGACGTAAATCAATTATATTATATACTATTATTGTTATTTGAATGTTTTATATTTGATTTATCAATAAATGCAGAAACATCTGCTAAAAAAAAAAAAAGACGATCACTGACCTGCAAGGTATAATGCCAGCTGTAAGTATATCACTATGTGAGGAGATGGTGCATAGATTTGTGGTGGTCATGGTGGTGGTAGCTTTTCTTGTTGATTTGTGTTGTTGTTGTGGTGGAGATATTGTGGAGGTTGCAGGGAGGATGATGGTGGTTATGAGGATATACATTAAGTGATGATGAGAATGTTCATGATAGAGTTGGTAATAGTAAGAGAAGGTGATGATGCTGATGATGAGGATGATGCTGACGATGGGGATGATGGTGATGATGATGCTGCTGCTGCTCTACCATCTCAAGACGATCGCTAACTTGCAAGGTATCATGCCTGCTGTAAGTATATCACTATGTGAGAAGATAGTGCATAGATTTGTGGTGGTCATGGTGGTGGCAGCTTTCTTGTTGACTTGTGTGTGTCTTGTAGTGGTGGTGGTGGTGGTGGTGGTGGTGGTGGTAGCTTTCTTGTTGACTTGTGTGTGTTATAGTGGTGTGGTGGTGATATTGTGGAGGTTGCATGTGTTGTAGTGGTGGTGGTGGAGATGTTGTGGAGGTTGCATTTGTTGTAGTGGTGGTGGGGGAGATGATGTGGAGGTTGCATGTGTTGTAGTGGTGGTGGTGGATATGTTGTGTAGGTTGCATGGAGGATGATGGTGGTGGTCTGGAGAATGATGGTGGTGGTTATGATGAAATACATAATGTGATGATGAGGATGTTAGAGTTGCTTATCATAGTAAGGGGAGATGATGATGATGATGATGATGATGGTAATGAATAAGGAGGTGGAGGATAATGGGAGGGGGGGGGGGAGAGGCTGGGGTTGCATAGAAATGGCTGTGATGATGGTGACGTAGTCAGTGATGATGTAGTCAATGATGATGATGATGACGATGGTGATGATGATGGTGAGGATGTTGGTGATGAGGAAAATGATGTTGATGATAACGATGGTGATGATGATGATGGTGATGATTATGATGGTGACGATGTTGGTGATGAGGAAAAAGATGTTGATGATAACGATGCTGATGATGGTGATAAAACTTGAGTACTGTATAGGCCATAATTGTGTTCATGAATTTGGAGAATTGCTGTAAGGATCATAATGTAAAGAACACGCAACAATTAGCTAATACCATTGTTGCTAGTATTATCATTTTTAAAGGAGAAAAAGAAAGAGAAAAAAAGCATCTCTAGAAAAGAATGCATAAAAGAGAGAGGTTAATGATAGAAATTAATGGGAAAGCTAGGAAATAGAAACAATCAAAGGGCCTAAAATGATTCAAGATTGCAATACCAGCATCAGTTCTTGCTACATGTTTACATTTTAATGAGGCTATCTACTTCACCATCATCGTGGAGAAAACAAAATAAAAGCTGGCAGTTGACAGCACTACCTATTAACACAGCATCCCATTGAGTGCAAGGTCAAAATGTGTGATGTATGGAAGGATGCGTTTTCCCTAGTTTGCAGGCACATACCCTTGTCAGGCGTTGTGCGTAACAGAGTCTGCACGGTGAGACTATGCTGATTGCACACCCCATAAGCTCTGTACTTCAGCTGCTCTGGATGATACCCGAGACTGACAGAGCTAGGCTCTGCTCAAGGCTTTTGAAAATTATTGTAAAGTGTTGAATTAGAGACTGCGCTCGCAGACTAGCTTTGCCCTTTGGACGTTCCATTTTACCAGCATTTTATCCTCCTGTCCGCAGGCATGTCAAAAACCCTAGACATCTTGCCTTAAATGCCAAGGTTAGACTGGCCTGTCTCTACGAGTGTAAATAGATGGAGGGATAAGGGCAATTAGATGGTGTTTATTCCCTTTCCCACTTTATCAATTGCCAAACGGGATATCTCCATAATAAAGTTGCCTGAAACAGTGTGTTTTTGTTTTGTACAACTAAATATTTATAATATTTCTTTTTCCCCCCCTCTCCTCTCTCTCTCTCTCTGTATCCCTCCTCCTTCTTGTTCTTTTTTTGTATATCTCTCTTATGTATACATTTTTTCCTGTTTTGTCTCACTCTGCTTATTCTCCCTCTACTTAATGATTGATTTCATCTGTCTATCCACTCTTTATCCTCTGCTCTATCTCTCTCTCTTTTATCTTCTTTCTCTCTCTCTACTTCCTACTATCTTACCTCTCCATCTTTGTCTTACTCTCTTCTCTTTCCTCTTTTCTCTTCTGCCTTCTCTCTCTCTCACACACTCTTCCCCCTCCCTTTTCCCATCTCCCGTCTTTTCTTTCAATTTCTCAAACACCCCCTCTCCTTCTTTTGTTCACCATTTCTTTTGTTTTGTTCACCCCCTCTCTCCCTCCATCCCTTCCCCATATTTCTTTCTTCAATTTCTTAACCACCTTCAACACTTATCTTCCCGATCTCTCTCTCTCTCTCTCTCTCTCTCTCTTGCCACTTGCATCTATTCTCTCTATCCCCTCTTCTTCCTTATACCCTGCATCTCCCTCCCCCACCCCCTCCTTTCCCCCCTTTTGCTCCTTCTCTTTCTTCTAACAGATAGACTGGTTGAGTTATCTTCAGTTCCTGTTTAACGGGACAGACATTGAAATCACCAAGGATGAACCCATCGTAGTCTACGCACCGGACTTCCTTCAAGACATGTCCAACCTGATTCTCTCCTCAGATCCAATGTGAGTAGTCAGAGTCCCCACTTTCACCCGTTACAGGCTGGTGTAATATCTATGATATTATTAACAGTAACAATAATATTGCTCCATGTGGAAGTCCAAGTCCAAGAAAATCATTGCCGAAGGGTTCTAAGCCTAGATTGGGTCATCTTCATACTTTTCCTACATGGACCCAATTTATCATTATCGTATCATTATTGTATCTACATTGTATGGATAGGATTATACAGCCCCAAATTGGGGACATTCCTGTGACTTGCATGATGTGACCGATTTGCAGGTGATTTGGCTTTTACTTCAACAGGAAGGCTAACCGTTTCTTGCCCATATGACCTGTTTTTTAAAAATTACAATGTAATGTTAGGAAAATGAATTTCTTTATAATATGCAACATCATGTACATGTTACAATTTACATAGCAGTTGGGTCGTATTAATTTACAAAGCTATTCACAAGTCGACTCTCTCATTGTAACAGAGTGGTTCACAACTACATGATCTGGCGTCTGGTCACCTCCCTAATGAACCTACTGAGTGCTGCTTTCAGGCAAGCAGACCATGACTTTGATCAGGTGCTGTCAGGCAAACGCAGCATCCCGGCCAAATGGAGGTTCTGTGTCTCGGACACGGATGCTAGCGTCGGGTTCGCCTTGGGGGCGCTCTTCGTAAAGCATGCGTTTGAGGGCCACAGTAAAGCAAAGGTGAGAATAGACTTGGTACTCATACATGAAGCTCAATATTAATTTTATTTTATTGAAATGGTCAATCAAATATGTTAAAGTAAATTTTCCTAAATAAGTCAAAATGTTGGCCTCCTCTCCTTCTCAGCTCTCTATATGGGAGAGAAAGTCATCAGTGGCTAGTGGTATGATGTTTTCACTACCAGGTATCTTTGTCTTTTTGTTTGTTAAGCAGATGGGATGAACATGTTGAAGAGGAACCATCCAGTTATTTACCATGGATGTTGCTCCCATCCCCTTCCCCTATATCTCTTTCTTTCTCTCTTCTCTCTCTATCTTTTACTTTCTCTCTCTCTCTCTCTCTCTCTCTCTCTCTCTCTCTCTCTCTCTCTCTCTCTATATATATATCTATCTCTTGAGCTTTTTCTAATCCTTCACAGTACATACTTGAGGTAATGGTCTTGCTCTTTGTTTAATTCTCTCTGCTAAGCTTCTGATGGCAGATGAAGTAAAATTTGCATTTATAAGGAATCGTCCAGATCTACCATGGATCTCTCTCTCTCCCCCTTCTCCCCCCTCCCCCTTCTCTCCCTCTTTCTCTCTCTCTCTCTCTCTCTCTTTCTCTCTCTCTCTCTCTCTCTTTCTCTCTTTTTCTCTGCTCCTCTCCCTGTCAATCTCAGCTTTCCTCCCTTGCCCTATAGTGTTAATATGTACAAAGATCTAACTACAACATATCTCTCTCTGTGTTTGTTTATTAGGCTGATGAGATGGTAGATGAAGTCAAGTCAGCATTCAAGAGGAATTTACCAGATCTGCCATGGATGGATGAAGACACAAGGGTAGCAGCTAAGCAAAAGGTAAACCATCCCTTATATCATCTTTATACTTTATGTTATACAAATATCCAACCTTTATAATGTTCCCCAGGGAGTGGAGATTGTGCATACAGTGTGTGCGGGCAAGTAATGAATCCGATGACCAGGGTAATAGTGTATTTGTAAAGCGCTTAGAGACATCATTGATGTATTAAGAGCTATATAAAAGCTGAATATTATTATTATTATGAAACAATTTACAATGACAGTATGCAATATAATGGTTAGAACCCCTAGGAAGCGGAATTCTGTTTCTAATCCGGGCACCGTAACAAAAATTGAACAAGATAATAAACATAAATATTCAAGGTAAAAGACTTGCATAATACAACCACACACATACACACAAACATTCATAAAGAAGGTTTTGCAGAAAGAATAGAAGTATAATAATAATGATATGCCATACTCACATATCATAAATATGTTCCTATGCACTGTAATGAAGAGAGGGAAAGAAAAGAATATAGAAGTTTGAGATTAGGTCATTAGGGAACTTAAATGTACTGCTTTGAGGGGGCATGGTGAAAGCTATTGCTCAAGGTGATCTCAAAACTGTACTGTGACCTGAGATGGGTAAAGGATTAGATCGGTCATGACAATGGAGATGCACATTCAATAGACGTTTACTCATAGTACAAATCAGCATCATTCATACCCCGGTATATCATTCATCCATTGAGTCCATTCACTCTCTGCTAATGGCAATAACAGAGAGCAATCCAAATTGTATTGTGGCGGACACTAGTATTAATCTAGAAAGTGTCAGGAAAAGTCATTAAGTTGATTATATTATGTGGTTGGACAGCTTGATGTTAAAGAGAAGCATTACTTTTAGTGGAATTATAGGACTCTAGTCTAGGCAGTTCATGAACTTGACAGATGAAGGTTTTGTTGAGTTGAAAAGACTCATGTATATTACACTTTTTTTTTTTTTTTAATGCTTTGAGTGTAAGGAAAGCCTAGTAATAGAGAATTTTACATAGTAGGGGATAAAATAGAAAAAAAGTTATGTGTGCATTTCATTTTCTTATTTGATCCAAGACTCTCATTCTATATCCCTCTCCCCCCCCCCCCCCCCCTCTCTCTCTCTCTCTCTCTCTCTCTCTCCTCTCTCTCTCTCTCTCTCCCTATCTCTCTCTTTCTCTTTCTTTCTCTTTCTCCTCCTCCCTCTCTCTCTCTCTCTCTCTCTCTCTATCTCTCTCTTTCCCTCCTTCTTTCTCTATTCCCCCCTCTCTCTCCCCCTCTCTCTCTTCCCCTCTTTCTTCCCTACCTTTGCACTTTTCTTCACAGTCTTTCCCATTTCACACTCCACCACACTCAACCATTATTTTATTACTCAAATTTGAAATACCATCCATTTGATATTGGCCGCTGACCCCGTTTCATTAGCAATAATTGTGTTCCGAGACCCAACGAATGAGACTGACCCCGATTCACCTGCAATAATTGTGTTTTGAGACCCAACAAATGAGACTGACCCCGATTCACCTGCAATAATTGTGTTCCGAGACCCAACGAATGAGACTGACCCCGATTCACCTGCAATAATTGTGTTCCAAGACCCAACGAATGAGACTGATCTCTTTTATTTTGTTACCATTCTGTCAGGCCAATGCCATCATTGATCTGATTGGTTTCCCGGACTACATCCTCAACCCTGAGAAACTGGACGCATCTTATGCTGAGGTAACTACCATTTTTCTTCCTTCTTTTTTTTTAATGAGAGGAGTAAAGTTTTGCACAGAAGGTAAATGTGCAAGGGAAAGATCCCCTACCGTAAATTGTTATGCTCTGTGTATACATATACCGTTGTGAGTTTGAATACAGAATAAAGAGAAAAGTGACTTTATGGCTTGCAGAAATCATTTGCTAAATTGAGCCAATGATAAAAGTCTTTTCCTCCCTTTTTATTTATGTACTTTTTACCTTTACAAATTGCAAATATATCTGCACAACCCCAAAGTACGAAGATACACCAACAACATGGTGGCCTGTACTTCAACAGAAGAAGAAGAAGAAGAAGTGAAACTAAGTATAAAATGTTAAATGTATGGGCTCTCCACAAGTAAAATATCACTGTTTCATCAGTCATTTCGACCTGCTTTAGTTTTAATTAAGGTCTCTTTAATCATTTAAGCTGTATCTTTGCGTAAAAGACTGACTGTAACCTGAAGTAAGAGTGTAAATATCTCCTTTCCTCATATATTAACCCATTGAATACTGGATTCTCTCTTCCCCATAAGCTCTAAGACATGAACCACCCGGTTCCAGTAGACAAGGGGGTCAACTCATATTCATCTTTTTTTATCTCCTTCACTCACAGTTGGAGCTGAATTCCAGCGAGTATTTCATGAACAACATCCGAGTTCTGCAGTTCCATGTCAAACGGCAGCTGCAGCAGCTGAGGAAAACAGTCGATAGAGGACAATGGGAGATGACCCCACCCCAGGTCAACGCTTACTACGCTCCCCAGAAGAATGAGATCGGTAAGAAAAATTTGTCCAATTTTAGCCTGTAATACTTCATGTGAAATACAGGTGATTGAAGTACAGTCAAACCTGTCTATAGCGATCACCCAAGGGCAACACAAAAAGTGGCCTTTGTAGACAGGTGGTCTTTGTAGACAGGTTCCTTTAGTACATGATTCAATGAGAAACCATTTTCAAAGGAAAACAACAAATGTGGCCTTTGTAGACAGGTGGTCACTAAAGCAGGTTTGACTGTATTCAAGTTTTTCATAAAAGAATGGGTTACTAAAGAGTCAAATGTCAGATTTGAGATTGGTAAAAACAAAAGCCCATATACTGTCAAGAGCAGCCTAAGTGAGACCTGACTTATATTTACATGTGACTGACCATTAATTGGTACCTATTGCCTTGTGCAAATTCAATGTGTTCAAACAAGCAACTAGGCAGTGAGGTGTGACTGATTAAAGGCAGGTTTTTTTTACCAACATTGCTACCACTGCTGATCCTTTGTTGAAAGCGTACATGGAGCGATTTCCGGTTCTTTTACCCAGGCATCATCAAGCACACATACAGAACTTGAGACAGTTGTTACTTTATAGATGCACACATGTTAAGCCTATATATTGCACCTGTTCCTATCAAGAGAAGAAATAGAAAATGCTTTATTTAGTGCAAAGTACAAAGACATGATGCATATGGCTGATTCAGTGGAAGGTCCAGAGAGGGGTGGGGGGGGGGGTTTCCTAAGATCCTAAGTCGATCCTAAGTTAGAATTATGGAGAGCCATTTGTAGCCTTAAAATAAAATATATTCAGAAGTGAAAATTAAGTATTTTAGACTTGTTATATATTCCACATCAGGAACATAAAATCTCCTTGATGATAGAAAATATGAATGGTTTGAATCAACATTTTATGCCTTTTAAAAAAACTTTTACAAAATATTTTCAAAGATGCTTATGGCTCTCCATAATTGTTAAGTCCAACTTAGGATCTTTGTGAAACACCCCCCAGGATTGTTGGAAGGGGAATGGAGGAGGTTTGCCGGATGGTGACAGATGCACAATAAGGGGGTTACATGGGGTGACTGGGGCAGAAGTGTGTATTAAGTACAGGCAAATTAGGGGAGGGGCATGTGGATACGCCATTGTATTTTTAGTACAAACATTGAAATTCCTGGGTGAGATGTGCTGCCCAAGGCAGGAGAGGGTGAAGATAGAGAAAACATTAGGCCTGTTTCCATCAGCCAAATATCCCGCCATTTGAACTATCCCAATCGCAAAGTATCTAGTTAATTTCAGTCTTCATCAGACCGAAGTTGCAATTAGTGGGATATTTGGTCAAGATAATCATCCCAAGATATCTTGGGCTAGTTTGCAAAATATCCCGCTATTTGTCCGATGCGTCTTCACCAGCCCGAAGACTCGCACTTTGCGCGAATGCTGAGCAAAATAACTCGAGCTCGAGTTTCGAGGTTCAAGTATATAGCTGATGAAGACACTATTTGTAACTTCAGAATTATTTCCTAAATCAGAAATTGCAGGCTATTTGGCAATCTCGAGCTGATGAAGACAGGCCTATTGATGACTTCTGCTATGACCGCTCATCTAATGCACATTATCAGCGGAAGATTGTAGGAGGTACGGTTGTTTTGGTTTGATGGACCATAAAACCTTTGATATTGGAGCTCCACTAAGAGCGGAAGTTATGCCAATGTATATGTAACCTTTGACCCCTAACACAGCTGTCGTAATGGTGATTTCACACTTCACAGTCAAGGGGAGAATCCTCTAAGAGTGCTTTACCCCTTTGCCTACCAGAAACCTATGGGAATGAGAGAATTCAGGAGTGAATGGGTTGAAACAACATAAGAAACTAGGACGGTGTTGAAAGAATAGTCTCATGAACCCATACCACAAGTGCTTGGAATGTCAAGCACGGTGATGTTGAATGATGCTGAGAGGAATCTAAGAGACATGATCCAGAGACAATTGCTCTGCTCTTTTCCCCCTACAGTATTAAAAAACTGAAAAATACCACAAAGCACAGATGACCTACTCTATTAAACCAATTTGAAGTCTAAAATATTACACTAACGTAATTGCAACCTTTAATGAAATAAGGCTGAGCCTCATATCAACAGAGCACCGTTGAGAGGCAAAAAGGAATTTTTCCTTTTGATCCAATTTATCTGTTATATTTTGAGATGTCATGTGTTAATGCTGTAAGATATTTATTTTCCTGTATGTCTACCTGTGTTTTATATAATGTACATGTATTTGAAATGTTGTAGATTCTAATGTCTGTACTACCGGTAAACATGCACTTCTTTTTCTGGGCCCCGTCTCACAAAGATTTGATATCAATCGCAACTTATTTGTGATTGATATCAATTGCAACTATGTACATAAGAGATAGGAGACTGCAAACTTGTGATTGATTGGAGGACTTGCGATTGATTTGGATCGATCGCAACTCTTTGTAAGACGGGGCCCTGGTGTGTATTTTCATGGCTGTCAGTTTTTACTAGCAAACCATCATTAAGTTACTTGAATTGCTCTGTGAAAGAATTTTAAAAATCTTGCATTTAATGTTAAAGAATAGAAGACATCAGAATTTGGTACTGTGTTTTTAGACTAATCTATAGCAACATTTTCTGATAATTTATAGCCAGAGTCATTAATTGTAATGGGATTCATGTTGTTTGTTCTAATGTCTTGAGATAACAATGTTCCGGTCCCTTTGATATTTCACCAAATTGATGCACTCCTTCACTATTAATGGTCTCATGAATGATGTTGCTAACCTGCTATTATGTTGTTAATGTTGAGATCTTATGCGAAGATGAATGTAAACATAACATAAATCTTCTAAAATATTTTTTACTTTGCTTTTAAAACAGTATTCCCTGCTGGCATCCTTCAAGCTCCGTTTTATGACAAAGATTATCCAAAGTAAGTAAACGCTCTTATCTATCTTCAATTTTATGATGCTTGAGAGAGCATTAGTCTACTGACATACCTACCAACCCTTATGAATAATCTGGAATCCGAGTTTTAATTTTTTTTTGTTCTAAAGCAAAACTAAGCTTGTTTCATCATGTGCCGCGATTTGATAGTTCACGTACTGCGTGCATTGAATGGCTGCATGATCGAGCAGCAAATTTGTATTCGCTTTTTTTTGTACAGATTTACCTCCTATTGCCAGATACACTGCCTCTGTATGTGTGAACGCCTATTAAGGCTACGGATTTCTTATTTTCAAAGGCATACCGTGCTAGAAATTCCTAAATCTTATTTTCAAATGTTGGCAGGTATATGCACTGATGTCTCACAATACTTTTGGATGAAGATCCCATTCTTTCAGCTTGCCGAAATGAAGAATTAGACAAGCAGACGTTGATTCCGAGACATTTTCCTTTGACCTCATTTTGCCACACAAATAATCTACCTGTGCCACATGGTATTGATCATGGGATACATATACATACATGTATATCTCTATATATATTCATACTTCATACTAATGCACAGACATGTACTGCACAAGATAAGTCTCCAAAGAAGAAGACATGCATATTATTCTACTTCAGTGCTGTGGTACAGCTAGTGTGCATGTACAGTTCATGTATATTGAAAAATGCCAGTTTTCCTAGAAGAACTACAAGTATGTATGACTATTATAGACTGAATCAAAGTAAATGAGCTTGAAATAATAATAATAATAATAACAACATTTATAATGCACACATATCCACCCCAAGGGATGCTCAAGGCGCCTAAACAAATTCGGAAATTATTACCCATTATTGCCATTGGTTGCTCTAGCATTCCAAGGAATTTATTCCTGCCAGGTACTCATTTTCATCACCTGGGTTGAGTGTGGCAAATGCAGATCAATATCTTGCCAAAGGACATTAGTACCGCGGCGGGACTCGAACGGTGGACCTTGTGATCGACAGTCAGGTGACGTCCGGTGACAGTCCGGGGATAAGTTGTAAAGCAAGGTATATACGTCTATACCAATGTCAGAATACCATATACAGAAAATAATGTTATGCGCCATTTTCTCCTTTTCGGTAGATCTTTGAACTTTGGTGGAATGGGTGTGGTCATGGGTCATGAAATCACCCACGCTTTCGACGATGCGGGAAGAGAATACGATAAGAACGGCAACCTTTACCAGTGGTGGAACAACGATACCATTCAGAGGTTTAACAGACAAACAGAATGCATGGTGGATCAGTACTCTGAATATGACATATTAGGAAACAAGGTGGGTGTGAAGTTCATTAGAATGACAAGCAGTAGTGAGCTTAATCCTAATGAGGCCGGGGTATTTGAGATCTGTCTAGTACCAGGCGGGGGCCATTATGCCCTCCCCCCTAAGATCTTTGACGTGAAACGGCCGATCGGCGTTAAAAATGTGTATAAAATACTATGGTACATGTTTTGTAAATTCAATTTTTTGAAAAATTCACTAATTTGCATATTTATGGTAATTTATGCAAAAAAGGTCATACAATTCACATTTTTACCCATAAATAATATATTCTTTATATCTAAGCATTCTTTTTCACGACAAATTCGTTAGACCATTTGGAATAATAATACAGCAACAAAATTTGGAAGAGCCAGGTTATCCCTTATGTTATCTCTTGTTTTGATATCTGTTCAATCTATCTGTTCAATACCAATATATTAATGTTACTTTTAAAGGACATTTCTACATGCATTTCTATGAAGCTCTTAACATATTTTTGTTCATTATACCCATTCTTTGTATACCAATAAATATTATGTGTACTGCTAAGTGCTATATCTATATAGTTTATTATTCCAAATACATTTTTTGGTTTTGTTGTATCAGCGGTCTGATCTGTATTCTGAAAAAGCACCTTTAAAAAAGTCAATCTTATTATTATTATTATTATTATTCAACTTTTCTATGTTCTCACAGGTTAATGGGAGGAGGACGTTAGGAGAAAATATAGCAGACAATGGTGGATTAAAGTCAGCATATCATGTAAGAACCTTCTTGTACTCACATTTTTTCATTATAAGAACTATATAGAGCTTATTCTAGAACAGTCAAGGAGTTGATACTCATTCAAAGATAAAATGACAAGCTGACGTCTTTTTAAATTGCTACACCTATTTCCCCACCAACTATTATTTGGAAAGCGGTGATGCTGATGAATTCGGGCAACTGCATTTTCTAACGATTAAACATCTAGTTGTATGTATAAATAAGTAAATGTACATGTAAGTTGCAAGGTAATGATTTTAACAGTGATCTATCTTAAATACAGTGAAACCTGAATATAAAGGCCCGTATTCTGAAGCCATGTCTAAGTCGCGTCTAACTAAACAACTGTTTAAGTCCTGTCTAAGTTGTGTTTAACTACGAAGTCGTTCTTAACTTTAGTCACGACTACTGCGCATGCCCAGTGGGCGTTAATTCTGATATTCCCGCTGACGAAAGACCCAATGCGCATGCGTGCGCGCACCGGATGAATAATGTGATCGTGACGTCATGACTAGACTACGTGTACTGTATACGTACTATACTGCACTGGCGCACAGTACAAACACACTAATAATATCACTTGTATCACTAGATTTCTAAAGAGAGGTATATAATTCTAAATAAAGTATTACCCAAGGTAGCCTCATGAGTATTAATACTGTCCTACCCAATGGCTGTGCAATCACATTTATTATTTGTTTTATTGATGTATTTGTTTGGCAGGCATATTTAGAGTGGATAAGAGAACATGGAGAAGAACAACTGCTTCCTGCACTTGGATTAAACCATAAACAGCTCTTCTTCCTTGGATTTGCACAGGTAAGGCAGGGGCGCAACCAGGATTAATAAAGGGGGTGGAAGGGGATGGGGGGGGGGGGGCTCAACTGCTTCCTGCCCTTGGATTAAACCATATACAGCTCTTCTTCCTTGGATTTGCACAGGTAAGGCAGGGGCACATCAAGGATTAATAAAGGGGGTGGAAGGGGGAGGGGATTACGAGGCGTGATGACTCAGTGGTAGAGCAGCGGTCTCTTACCGGGAGAAAACCATAAACAGCTCTTCTTCCTTGGATTTGCACAGGTAAGGCAGGGGCACATCAAGGATTAATAAAGGGGGTGGAAGGGGGAGGGGATTACGAGGCGTGATGGCTCAGTGGTAGAGCAGTGGTCTCTTACCGGGAGAATACCATAAACAGCTCTTCTTTCTTGGATTTGCACAGGTAAGGCAGGGGCGCAACCAGGATTAATAAAGACTTAAAGACATCAATCCTCTGCATGCTTTCTTAACAGTCAGGTTAAACAAACAAAACAACCAACTTATTGGAAAGCTTATATTGTATGATTTAGTGACAATTGCTATAAGGAGCAAATATCACTGGGGTAAATGTTTCATCATATCTGTCTGTAGACTATAGTTCTAGGAAAAGGTTTTTATACTTTTTTAATTTGCAGCTTAAACAACGAAATTGTAATAATGACACTAAACTTTTTTTATAGACAAATTATAGTTCGTGGACAATGAAAACATAATTTTGATATTGGAAATTAAATATTGTGAAAAAAATATTTGTAAACTGTATGTATTCAAACAAATATAAAACTCATTTTGATTGAAAACTGCTCATCAAAACATTTTTAAAAATAGATAGTATATCATAAGCCACTATGATTCATTTTCTGGATGTTATTCTTGGTTCAGGTTTGGTGCTCAACCTCAACTCCACAAGCAGCAAGGTTACAGCTCCTCACAGATGAGCACACACCACCAAGATACAGGTAAGTGTTGGAACTACCATTTTGGAAATGAGGTTTCTCCTAAGACACAATAGACCATTTTCGTAATGTAATCAAATCTAATGCATAAATCTTTGTTAAGTGCAAAGTTGATAAATTATTTCATTCACCTGTTTCAAATAAATGTATCTCAGTAGTCAGAATTCAAATTGCATACATTAGTTGTTGCATTGTAGGACAAACATGATGGCTTGAAATTGAAATACAATAATTCAAAACAGGTGAATGGAATAATCTTATAACATGGCACTTAACAAAGATTTATGCATTAAATTTGATTACATTACGAAAATGTCCTATTCAATATTGATACAGTGAGATATGTGTATAACTGCTGAAGGATAGAAAGAGAAACAGTCTGTATACTAAGGCAGGTGGATTCTGTGCCCTTACTGTAGTCAGTAAAACCCACCATTGATATAAGTGCTGAACAATTTGTTTGGACTAGGATTTTCTTTCTTCCTGAAACAGATGGCAATTATCATCATTGGACTGCTAAAGTCTAGAATGAATCAAAGGTTATATACTGCCCTCTAGTGATGAGTTGTTTTTCTTTCTTTTTTTCTTTCTGGTATAGCACAATTGGTTAGAAGACATGTGTTGATTCTGATACTGTGTATTATTTGTATTTTTTGATGAAGTACATGTAAGTATGTATCAGCAACTGACTTCATTACTATAGAAAAACACATCCAGAAATGATACAAAAGTGGAAATTTTGCAACAACATTAATGTTGTTACTTAGGTTTATTGTATTATACTATATTTATTTTGGCTTTGTAATTATTTTAATCTTTTGAATTTTCCTTTTTCTTAGGGCAGATTCCATTAGATTTTTTCTTCTTGATTTAATGGTGTTGGAATTATGGTTTTAAATTACATGTTTATTTATGTATGCATATAGTTATTATAAGCCAAAGTGAGTTGGGCAAATTTAGTGTCAAAATCTGCCCTACATTTGAAACCCCCCCAAAATGTAATAAAAGTGGAAAATCAAACCTAAGGTATGGCAATTGAATAAGAGAGAGAGAGAGAGAGAGAGAGAGAGAGAGAGAGAGGGAGGGGAAAAATAATAAATTTTTGGCAAGATTATAGGCCCTTTGAGACCCCTCCCTGCAAATTACACATACACACCCAGCTCAAGTTCATAGGGTTAATTTGCAATTGGCAACTTGTCAGGAAAAAAGGCGAATGATTTGTTTTACATTCTATTTCTTGCTGTAAATTGCTTTGCTAAACTTGGTTTATGGATGTCATTAAAAGGAAAGTTTGATCACCACTTGCTGCTTCTCCTGAAAATCCCCCCCCCCTCAGATTCTTGCTTTACTAAGTGGATAACCTTATGATCATCGTCACAGTCAAGTAAATTATATGGGTCACCTAAAGTACAGAGTTTATTCTTCTCTAGGGAATATGTGTACCAGTTAATTGCACTGTTGGAGGTATACTTACCGAGGTCCCAAGCACACGCCCCTCTTCTCCTTTTCTCTCTCACTCACTCAGTTTATCTTTTTCTTCTTGTTTCTTTTTCTCTCTCTTGATATTTATTCTATATCTCTTCCTATCATCATCTCTCTCCCTACTTTCCTCTCCCCTCCCCCTCCCCAATCTCTCTTCCCTCTATCTATTTACATGTCTTCCATGTGCCTGTTCCTTCAATCTCTCTCCTCGTCCTCCTCTTCCCCCTCCTCCCCCTCCTCTTCCCCTCTTCCTCTTTCTCCTATTTTCTGTTTCCTTAAATGCCCTGAGGTATATATATCTTCCTTCTCAAGCCCCCTTCTTCCCCCCCCCCCCTCCTCCCCTCTCTCTCTCTCTCTCTTTTTTCTCTCTCTCTCTCTCTCTCTCTCTTTACCTTAACACTATTTTTTCCTATAATGAAACTTCCAATCTGTGTGTTAAAAGAAAAAGTAGGCCTATATCTGATTCCTCTCATCATCATGTAATACCCACATTTGTTTTGAAAGCATTTAGGGGAGCATTTTTGTAATATGATTGATGTTTCGTTCTTCATGTGACCTTTTAGTGACACATCGCGTGTATGGGATACGTAGATATTCCATAATAATCTAAACGCAGTTCAAATATGGAGGGCTGATGTTTTCATTAAGCGTTACATTTCAGTTTCGAAAAACAGATAAAATGTGATGTATGAAATCCTTCTCTTTTTTTATGTACTCAATGGTTTCCTTCGTGAGTTATGTTTGAATGTTATAACCTACGTGTATTGCAGTGTCTCAGTTTACACATATCTTTACTATAAATCAGTCATGCTTGAAAGATGATGCCGCTTTGCTACATATATTTATAAATAGAAGTTTTCTTGATAGGCCCTAGTTACAAAGAATGTTAAACGGTGTACGTTATTTTGTAAAGGCAGTTGAAGCCAGCCAAATTCTAACATTTCACATGTTTTATGTATCTTATAGTTTGTAGATTGAAATAGCCTACCGGTATTCCGTTTTCTTGAAATTCAAAGTATTTGAAAATTGAAATTCAAAACAGGTTTGAAGATCACACTAATATGATTGTTTCCATCATCATGCACCATCACAAAAGAAGAATTGTGATTGAAAACTTCTCCGACAAAATCAGTGCTTCCTATCCCCTTTTATTTTCACACATTCTCCATATCTGCATCTATATCTGCATTTGTCTTTGCTGCATCTTATGTGAGCGTGCCATAAGACTGCATAAAACCCATTTATGATTTACTATGATTTTGTTCATCAGTGAACTCCCTAATTCTATTTCTCATTGTCGATTTCTGTGTTTCCCTCTTCGTCTCCAGGGTGATCGGGACGTTATCAAATTCAGAAGAGTTTGCAGAGCAGTTCAAATGCCCCGTTGGGTCACCGATGAACCCCAAAGACAAGTGCGAGGTCTGGTGAGGTCATCCATCACAGAGGTCAAAGTTCAGAGGTGAAGACAGCAGGTGCACCGTACATAAACCTGTAGATAAATGTACACATGTTCAATCACAGTATGTATGGTCCTAGCACTGTACACTTGTATGTATATTATCCTGTATTTTTCTGCAAGATCTTTGACCCCCACCACCCACCCCAAAAAACAAAAACAAACAATCTTTCTTCCAATCATCATCGAGAAAGAAGAAAAAAAGTGAATCTAGATGTTATCCTGGTGCTTAACGTTTATTGACATCTTTTAGTTTGCAAGGTACCCAGCGGTGCTGAAAAGAATATAGGAAAGAATTTTTTTAAATTTGTTTTTGACTTCGCTTATATTATACGTTATCATGCCAAATTGCACAAAATAAACTGTATCTGGAAATTTAAGTAAGATTTAAGAAAGTTTTTACTTTTTTTATTTTCTAATACCAATAATCCATGAAATATCTGTATTATTACTTTCCTCAAACTGTCAGCTTTACTTTCCTTGCATAAGTATGCTGTATTAATTCATGTAAATATAAAAACCCACTTGTACTCTAAGCTTATACTGTAACATGAAAATGATAATTCATGGTAGTTTATGAAGTAAAAAGAAATATAAAATCAGGATACTTGTTATTTAGTACTCATATTCTGTATATCACATGCTGTAATGAATGAAAGGTTATATACCTCTGCTTTGAAGCCCCTGCAATGTGCCAACATGAGAAAGACAAGATTTAAGATGTTAATAAAGATCATGTGACATTCCTCCTTTACCGTACTTCATATTTGCAACAATGCCCTATTTTTGTTTTTGTAATTGTTGATTGATTCAGCAGTTCATTGATGAATCGTAAACTATAAACTGTAATCTACTGCTACATTGACTCCCCATCTCTCTCTCTCTCTCTCCCTACCTCTCTCTCTCTCTCTCTCTCTCTTTTTTCTTTATCCCACTCTCCCACTGTCCCAATCTCTTTTCCCAAATCCATTACCTCAGTAAATTCTATAGACTCAAAACAGCTTGATTACTGGTATTTCAAATTTCCAATCTGTGTTCCCCATGTATGTTAGCCAGTAGCGCTATATTTTGTGCTCTATCACATTAAGTTTTGAAATTCTCCAACAGACTATGTTCATGATCACTTTCATCTCATTAGGTGCACTAGACAACCAAATTAGACCAATCTTCCTCTTTTTGTATAAACTGTATATACACACTACTTGTAAATAACATGCACAAATTGTGAATTACCAATCAACTCCTTCAAATTAACTAAAAACGTTGACATTCATAAGTGTGAAGACATCATCAATTGAAATTCACATGAACTTGTGGTACGTGTAAGATGAATACTGTGACTGTTATATATTTAGTTTAAAAGTGAAAAATCTCTTTCTTAAGATTCATATCTGTATGCTTGAATCTGAATGTTTCCTTGGTTATGTCAATCATTAGTACTCGATCCCTTCATTTTGGTTTTAAATTCCTTGTTGAAATAGAAATATTACTTGGATGCTGTACTTGATGTTTCATCTTGAGAATTCTTGTTTCCAATGAAAACTGAATTTTATGTTTACTTGAAAACACCAGCAAGGTTGTTTTGCCATCTCGACACCCTTGAATAATTATAAACATGTTGTCCAATCATCCCATGAGTGTATATGAATGTCAGTTTGTGTGAGTTTGTTTATATTTCCGGGTATATGTTTTCTGATCTAAGAAACATACTAACTTACCAGTGCAGAGTAATTTTATTCCATTTTTTAATCAAATGGTTGTTACATTCCTGGAACTACAGATCTCCTTAAATTTCAAAGGAAAATGATCCAAACTATTCATTCACTCATTAAAATAAAACAAAAGAGCGCTTGTCATTCCAATTTTCTTTGAATGATGGAGTGAAGTTCCATATCCAGAGCTCAAAATGTTCTTTGGATTGCAGAGCTTGAAAAAAATATTCCTGAAATACATCAAGGCTGAATAAGAGACCAAGTTAATCTGCTGAAAGCCCAAAAGATGTTTTATATGAATTAACGCCTTTTTAGCTTTCAGCAAATGATAAACTAGCTTCAACAGTAGATCTACAGAAAAGGATTGACATCTTATCACTTTTTTTATGTTTTTAAAATAGTAGCCTATATTATCGTTATGTTCACCCTGTACCTTAAAGAAATCTGACACATTATAATCCAGTTTAGTTTTAAATGAGTGACACGGTATTGTCTTTTTTAACTGAACTTGAGCGAAAGATAACTTGCAATAGGAAAACTCTTTTGCTGTTTGGAAGTTTGTTGACACAAAGTTGGTGAGACGGTATGTGGAAATTATACAGTTAAACATTTGTGAAAATTGTAAATTTTGTACAGAGTTGTGTAAAATTTTTATCATATGATCATTTTTGTTTCCAGTGTAGGATTTTTTTAGTATGTTGTAGTAGAGTAAATGTTGAACATGATGAGAATTGCCACATGGGTATTCTGTACATAGAACATATGGGCATGTTATTTGAAGTCAATTCTCTGAACAAGATACCTTTATTATCTGTTGAGTGCCAGAAGGGAATAAAAACCTTTTGACAATAGAGCTAACTTTCTTCTGGCGCTCTGCTGATTGTATCTTGTATCTATGGAAATGCTGTCATATGTGCATGTGAAGTGAAGATGAAAAAATATCAAATATATATTATATATCTCAAAGAATATATCATCATATGGAAAATGTTCCTATTAGTGTTGTTACACATATTAACGTATAACCCGGTTTACTATCTTTTTATGTGTGATATATAGTATGTAAGCATGGATTTATTTTGCTATGAAATTCAATATATTGTTACGTAAGTTGTCACAGCTGAATATCTCTTGTAATATAAAAAACTGACAAAGATAGAAAATGTTGTTACATGTACCTCTCAAATGTGATAGATTTTTATTTGTAATCTTGAACGGTATTCGAGTAGGAGCTCACTTGTTGGCATGGTGACTTAGCTTAAAGATGTTCAAAAAAATGCCAATGTTCTATTTTTGGTCAATGTTTCTGATGCAGACATTTTTTCTTCTCCAAATTAATATTTGATATAGCAAACATTTTCTGAAAGGCAGGGAGAATATATCAAGTGTTTGAAAAGTGTTTGTGTTTTTTTTTTTTACTTAATCATTCATTTTGAAGGAAAAGAGGTTGAGAAAGCAAAATTTGAGAATGATATGATTTTTTAAAAAAAATGATTAGGTGAACAGCTCAGAAAGCAGTGTAGGAAACAGAAGTATTAGCTGAAAATAGTATTACTTGTATCTTGTATGATGTTTCTACAGCAGTGGTATGCATGGTTTCACTATTGCCTTCAGAGTACCGTACTTTATATTTTGCGCCTTTGCCCTCTCTTTCCTTCAATCCTTCTTTCCTTTTAACATTTTTATTGGGATGTACCCCTTATCGATCTGCTGTCATACATGTCGTATTATGAATGTTTTGGGCTTCAGTATTTTACCATGTTTTACCCACTGCTCCTTAAAATTCCAATCAATTAATATGCAAAAGTTAAGTACCGGTAAGATATGTACAAATGAAAGAAACAGTACTGACTATTTTGATAGGTAATGGTGAAAAGCGAATACTATTTTAAATTGTTTAAAAAAGTACCTTAATTGGTCAGTTTGCTTGGTGTGATTTTAATGACATTTGCAAGACTCATTTCTTCTTTACATACATGTACTAACTAATCCAGCAGTCCTTTCTTATAAAACTCTTTTTTTTTTGTTGGTGTAAATTAAAGGTATTAAATGACTTGCAACTCCAATAAATCAAAGCAGGTCGGAGAATGCGTCACTTGATGAGTTTCAAACTCTTTCCAATATCTGCTCCAATTCTGCGTTTATTCGTTAATTGTTTATCACTGCAGCAGTCGACATCCAGATTTAGACTCCATTTGCAAATGTCATAGGGACTATTCTTATCTCCATGACATGTGCATAGACTGGAGACCCAGCTTTACCCGTCTCTTTTTGCATTAAATATTAAAACGCGAGTGACACAGCTTCACAAAGCCCACCAATCGTAAAAGGTCAGAAACGGATAACAGTCCTAAGTGTAAATCCTATCAACTCGATCTAAAACACTGGAGGCTGACTTACCATTTCACATTTCCAAATCGCTCCCGAGCTCCGTCATGCCTCTCGAATTACCCCCACTCAATGACGGGAGGGTGTCAATAAATATCTTTGGAATGAATTTGACGTAGTATCTATCTCTCTGTGGATAGTTTTTCTTTTAGTAAACATGAGCTGTAGACTAGCTATACCGTGGAGGATTGTAGCGGTAACGGAGAAATCCGCTGGGATTGAAACTCCTTGATGTACGTAAACGCTTTTGCGATTCACACTGTCTCTGAAAATTGTTAGTTTGGACTGGTTAAAACTACGTCATCTTCCTGGTTCGAACTCTTAAACGCAAAAGTAAATACTAAAATAGCTCAAGCAAGATGTACTTTTAACCAAATCGCAAACGTAATGACAAAAGAGTTGTTTTTAAGAAACGTAAATATCACACTCCTCGCTAAAAACAAGAAAGAAGTCGTATTATCATGTTATGTTGTTTGGCGAAGTACAGAAGTTGACCTTCCGAAGAGCATAACTTGTTTTTTGTTGTTTTGATATTGGTATACGTATGTCACTGTATGAATGTGAATTAAACAGTTAACTTGTTTATTGTAATTGGGGAATCATATCATGTGTTGAAATGTCAAACATGTGAAAATCCGAAGTTTGTGAAAAAATACATCATGCGTGCCAATACGATACCATCTTAAAAACAGTCACTTAAAATACCGCCTGAGTACTAAAGTAGAGGATGAAACAAGCTAGTTCAATCCTTTTCGAGAAATTATTTTTTCATTTTACTTCAATTAAAAGATAATACTTACATGTATATTTCTCCAGGAGATATGTACGGAGAAGTATGACTATATAAACGATGAACTTCAATCAATTAAAGTATGATTCATTCAAAATATGTGTTCCTGTTGCTTGCTATATTCGAATGAACATGTTCTTTTTATTTGTAAAAGCTTTTATATTTCTCACTCTCTCCTTTGGGCCAGAAATACTTGGATCTTTAAAGATTCGTTACTAGCAAGTACTAGCAATTTTTAGCATCTTAATTGTCCATATTTTACGTGACTCAGCTTAACTTTTAAAACTGTTTATATAAAAGAATTGAAGGTGGTCTGATATATTGATTGTGGTTTAAATATCTCAATATTCCTACTATCCATCCAACCGAACGTAGTACTATATCATGGCGTATGGGCGTAAGTGACATCAGTAGATTTTTTTGTACTTTTTGTGACATTCCTACTTATTGTGTCAGCTTTTATCATGTTACTCAGTTTGAATGCAGTTGTTTCTTATTGTAATGGACTGTCTATCTGTTTTAATAAATTATTGATGTGCAAAAAAAAGAGGAAAAGATCTCGTTTGATATGTGTGATATGTGTGATATGTGAATCTCAATTTCGTTATTTTAACTCGGTTTTTTCACGTCACAGAGTTTTTTCAAGCATTTATTATTCCTTAAGTTTTTACAACTCTGTTCTGTTCTTCATTTTGCACAATTTTTATTCTTGTTATTTCTTCATCTTCTCCTACTCCTCCTTCTTCCTTATCTCCTTTTTCGTTTTTTTTTTTCTTTCCTTCACTTTCTTGCTTATCCTCCGTCTCCCCTCCCTTCCGTTTCCTTTCCCTCCCCCCTCTTTCTTTTTCCCCATCCCCCTCCCTCTTCCTCCATCCCTGCCCCCCCACCCCGCCTTCCACTAAAATCGACCCCTTTTCTCCAAACCGCATACCTCGCGTAGGCGGCGGCGATGCCCTGGAAGATCGGATAAGCGAGATGCTTTTAACCAGTCTCGTTTCTTATCAAATCTATTTCAATTGACGTCTCTCTTTCCTCGGGCATTCCAACACCCTGCGCGGTATAACCTGAAATGAAATCGTAAGAGGATCTTTTATCTCTACTTGTCATAGTAAATAAATCATAATCGCTTTGAAACAATCCCATCCCCACTCAACCGATCAGACATCAAAGTATATTTTTGAAGAAGGAAATTATGAATTTAAACTCAAAACGTATGTCGTGCGTTCGTTTATCTTCCCCCGGAAAACACACCATTGTCATGTCTGATTTGGATATATTTTATAATAAAAAGAGATATCGTATTTCTGTATATTACCCAGGACGATTTGAGGGGGGTAACTGCCTTTAGGTAGATGTAAATGATATACATATCTCTTTCTGAGATTTACAATTATGATTGAAATTGGCAGAGGGCGAAATTGATATCACTTTAGACTGAAGACATGACCTATTTGGGTCAGAACGGATACCAGGGTGTTGGTGACGGAATGAAAAATCATCAAAAGCTAAAGATGCAGAATACATCGATCTATTGTGAAAACTACTATATTTCTCTATTACTAAAACCATTCTCTCCAGTAATTTCAGAGAGTAAGGGGTTCGGGGTCCTTAAATTCTAAACTAAAATGAATTTCACGCAAAGTCAAATGCGTTTTTAAGGGGGAGCACTATAAAGATTCCACGACCACCAGAGAAATGTTGTTCTCTCTTTTTTTCTTTTCTTTTTTTTTTTTCTTTTTTTTTGGGGGGGGGGGGTATATCACGATGGCAAAGACTTTCAAGAAATCAACCTATAAAGGCAATTTCAATTATGAAATGATCCGATAATGATTTTTGTAGGCAACAAAATATGCGCTGTTCCCTTTCTTATTCTAGGGGTGAGGATGTGCCCTTCCACCGCCCTCCCTCCATCCCGATCACAACATCAGTGTCATTACATTGATGCATCGATGAAATAGTGTAAATAGAAGAGATATAAATAATGCCAGATTCAGAAGTATGTAATTTGTAGTTTTTAGTAAATTGACTACTTAAAGGAGCTCAAACACATCAAGTTTGACATAATGTTGTGTCTGTTCACTCTGTTATACTAACATCTAATTTTGTATCAAGAAGATGTCCCTCGGTAGCTTGCTCCGTTTTCACAGCGGGTGTATATTGCTATCATACGGATGCCCCATTTGTATTTCAAATTTCTGAGTATGGAGAGAGAGAGAGAGAGAGAGAGAGAGAGAGAGAGAGAGAGAGAGAGAGAGAGAGAGAGAGAGGGGGAGAGGGGGGGGGGGGGGGGGGATGGGGAAGAGGAAAGAGAGAGAAATGGAGGAAGAAAGAGAGAAGTTGGAGTAAAGAAAGATAAGGCAAGGAAGAAAGAGAGAGAAGAGGTAAGGGGACGAAGAAAGAGAGAAGAGGAGGAAGAAAGAAAGATAGAGAAGGGGGAAAGAAAGAGAGGGAGAATGGGAGGAAGAAAGATAGAGAGAATGTACACCAAAGAAGGAGAGGGGATGACAGAGCGGGAGTAAGAGAGTGTGAGAGAGAGAGAGAAAAAGGGAAAGGGGGAGGCTGGTACGAAAAGATAGAAAAAAAGAAATATGGCAGTATTTATTTTCAACCCTTTAGGTGGTGGTTCGTTGTCAGTTTCACCTTGTTACCCGAACCAATCTGCTACCCTGGACAATTGGATGTTCAAACTGATGTCAAACTTCCATCTCCATTAACTCCTTCCACCCCGGGAAGAAGATGACCAAGAAAGATACTAATAAAATGATGATGGTGATGGTGATGATGAGAACTGAAGAAAGAGAAGATAGAGAAGATGCAGTAGAAGAAGAAGAAGAAAAGGTAGAAGAAGAAGAAGAAAAAGAAGAAGAAGAATACGGGGCACTTCATTTTTTGGAAACTTTTTATTAAAATGCCGTGATATATAGAATACTTCTCAGAAGCTGTCATTTGATAGGCATATCGGGTTTCGAATGTCCAGGGCGAAATCTGAGGTAAAACAAAGTGCGCCAGTTGACATTCTATATTTCTTTATTTTTTCAGGTTTAATTTGTCTATATATCCTTACAGACCTTTTTTCGTTTTTGCTGTTATACACTTTAATATTTTTTTCCACTGAAGCATTTATACTACCTTTTGCTTTTATTCTTTGTTTTTTATCAGTTTATTTTGTTTTAATGATCTACTGTCTTCTTCGGGTTTTTTTTTCCTTTTTACTTTGTTTTCCTCTTCGTCTCTGTCTACATCTTATTCGTTTTTGTCGTTATTTTGCCTTTTCTTTTGTCTATTCTTTTCTTAGATGGATTTCTCTTTAAAAATATTATCCTTCTCCTAAATAATACATTTGAATGTAAATTATTCATTAGCCAAGTTTTGCTAACATCATGGAATTTGACATGGATCAGCATTATACCAAACATTAATGCGTATGAAATAGTAAAGTCGTAGGTTCCGCAGGATTAAACGAAACTTGAATTCGTTGACGAGATCAGTACCAATACCGTTTAGAGGATGAACCCAACGGGTAAGATTGATTTCATTCTAGAAACTTGATTTTCTTACGGATCTCAAGTCATCCACATGACGCCCCATTTAGTAAAATGATAATCAAGTGGCGATCTGCCTAAAATTCTGGTTGAAATCTTACTTTATAACACAAAAATTCGGTTTCTAGTTCCTGTATTCGATAGAAACTTCTCCCTTTTTCATTAGATGAACATATGCATTTGTATTCACACTGTTCTATATGCTTGGCCTGCAACATGGATACAACACCTTTAAACAAACCATGTATCTCCCTAAAGATTCAATTTCTGTCTGAATACATGTTCAACCCACTATTATTTTCAGCTATTACTTCCGGCTCGCCGCCACCTTCGATTTCAATTTCCTGAAGCGAGATCTTGTCATTTTGCGACGTTTGAAAGCCATCCAAAGGACATTGGTAACATGGGGGGGGGGGGGGGGGGAACCTGTCGATACTAGGTGATTAAAATATGACAGCAACATAGTAGGTCCATGTAAGAGGGGTCCGCCTTTCATTTGCCCTTGGTGCTTCTTCCCTCACCTTCATACAACCCGAATATAGGAATAGTGGCATTATGTAAATATGCTATCTGCCATAGTTATACAATAATTTTGTATAAATATTTTTAGTTTGTTCTTCTAATTATTATGGAAATAAAAAAGAAACAATAAAATACCCCCTCTCTCTCTCTCTCTCTCTCTCTCTCTCTCTCTCTCTCTCTCTCTCTAGGCGTTGTGGCGTGCGCCTGTAATCCAGCTAAAAAGTGGAAGTTACAAACTGATTCAGCGAGGACGCAGGTTCGAAACTGAGTCACGTCTTTCGGATAGTGACGTTTAAAGGTCGGTCCCAGACGTAAATAATCATATCTGATTGATACACGTCTGTAAAAACCCAATACACACACACACACACACTCTCTCTCTCTCTCAGTCCCCCTCTCTCTCTCTTTCTCTCACTCCCCCCTCCTTCTCCATCTGTCATTCTCAATTCAATGAAAAGGGGTAGCCTACATGTCCGCGCCACTAGATCCGTAATTAATATTAATTCAACCATTTCCAGTGTATTTGAAAAACCCAGATTTAGAATGAAACATTAGATAATGGTTTTCTGCTTTTTAAAAAAGGGGTTAACAAACTTTCAGGGTCTCTAACAAACTTCCAAAGCGTTGTCATATGAACCTGATGAAGATGATCCCATGTGTTCCTAGGCGTAACAAAAAAAACACAGGCTGCTGAAATATTCCAAATTATTAATCAATCATCCAATCATGCTGACAACATAATTGTGGGGCAAAGGTGGGGGGGGGGGCGGCGTGATCTCTCTCTCTCTCTCTGTCTTCCCCTCTCTATCTTTCTATCTTTCTCTCTCTCTCCCTCTCTCTCTCTCTCTCTCTCTCTCTCTCTCTCTCTCTCCATTTCTCTTCTCCCCCTCTTCTCTCAAGCTCTCAATCTCTTTTAGTCTCTTCTTTTATTTTCTTGCTTTCATTTAATATACATGTTCTTTTATGGGGGAGAGCCCCCGTCCCATTTACAGGGTCAGTGCGCCGATGACTTCCCGAATCATGAACGACTACAAAACCTCTACCCTAACCAAAATATTGATTTGACCCATCTTGCGCCCGACGATTGATCTAATCAAAAGTTATGGTCTATGTAATAGTCGAGCATCATCTTACAAACATCGACATTAAGGTTAACGTTTTATGTCGAAATCGAGAAATAGAACTTGGCGCTTTGCAGGGAACGTTTCAAGTTATAAGGACCAATAAAAATGGATAAACACCCAACTAACGTTTCGTTATCAAAGTTTGAAGTGTAGCCAACCCTAGGTAGAAGAAATCAGAATGATTTATAGTTAATGTAAATGTAATACAGGAGATTTTCTTTCCAAATCTCGCTACGGGCGGGATGTCTTTATCTTTATGAGTAACGCGCCCCTTGGAGCGTTGTTCAATTGGCGCGTTGTATCATCTCTACATGTCGCATCGTAGTGCCCTGGCTATCAGGAAACTTGAGATGCTAAGCT